GAAACATCTACCCAAATCTCTTACGTAGTCGTTAGGCAATATCTCAATGCAATCGTCCAATACTAAATTCATAAACAAGTCGTACCCTCGTAAGATCCCCAAAACTTTCTTGTTTTTGTCCAGAGTCAGCAACAGCTTGTTGTGCATAAATGATCTCAAATCCGCTCCAGGTCCTGATTTAGGAAACACTTGTTTATCATAAGTACTCATGGTTCAGTTTCCAACCTAATAATTAGCCTGTCTATAAATTAGATGAATTAAGTTTAGAGAATGAATATAATAAAAAATTTTTGTTAAATACAAAATATTATTAATCTCAGTAAATCACAAATAATCGCTTTGGCGATTGATGGAACGACCAACTTTGTCCGTGATGGTATTAAGTTTATTCACCGACGTTTTGTGGCTTTTTGTTTCGTCTTTAATTGACTTCGAAAGCTCTTTCAAATCGGATACCTAGAACATATCATCTATATTTGCAACTTACAATGTTATATAATTTGTCAACTGAATTTTTTTTTTCCACTTCATGTATCGTTTCCTTTATTTCAGCGCAATCTACGCTGTTCAGCTGGGCAGAATATGATTTACTTCCTTTTACCCCATCTGATTCAGCTTCTCCGGCTGAACCTGAATTTTTTTTTGCTAGATTTTTGTTAAAAAGCATATTATAGAGACTTGATTTCCAAGATTTCAACGATTTGGTCATTTTTTCCGTTTTTGCCAAAGTCGACTCGATCTTCTCGTACGTATAGACCGAGTTTTTTATTTGCTCACCTTGTACTTGAAGTTCTGCCAAACACTGTTTCGATTTTTGAGTTAACGACTCAGCCAAAGTCAAAGACGAGTCTGTTATGGATTCAGCAGCTTTGTTCTGAAGTTGAGATTTGAAGCCATGCTAATGAAATGTCGGAGCACATAAACCTACAATTTGTTTCTGCGTTGTATTTGTTTGCGAATCGTTTTGCGCAAATTCATCCTCAATAAATGACATACACGATGAATTTGTTTGATGTTTGCAAACAAGTTTCTTTTTAAAAATTCTTTGATATATACAAATAAAATCTAAAGTATTATGAGAAATTCTTTATCATTATTATTGGCAACATGTTTAGCAAATGTTCGAGTAGATCATCAAAAAATGTACCAGGTGTCGACAGCTGAGCCTATTTTCTCCTGTATAGATTCATTTGAGCTCAAAGATGACAAATGTCAGCAAATTGTCAGAAAACCTTTAAGCCCCACATGTTACGAAGGAATTCTTCAAGCTGACAATACCTGCTTAGTAATTCGTCCAGCGGAAAAAGAATGTCCATATGATCACGTACTAGACGAAAATGTCTGTCGCAGGACTTTATCCACTAGGGCTACACTTTCTTGTGAAGAAGGTTTCAACTTTGAAGGAACTAGACAGGGACACTCTCAAGGGGGAATTTGCGTCAGAACCCTGCAAACACGTCAATTTGGATGTCCAGACGGTACGTACCCTGAAGCTGATTATTGTATTGCTGAAAAAGTATTCCCAGCGCTATTAGAATGCCCAGAAAACAGCCAGCCACAAGGAATGGCTTGCATGACAACCGAGTCATATAATTGCAATCCACAATATGTCAACACTTCTGGAAACAAGAGACACATGGAAGAAATGTCTCGTGAGCTAAACAAGAGAGTAAAGTCTCATCACGAAAACATTATCATTGACGTCATTGCTATTCCACAAAGCCAAGTTGTTCACACCTGTCAAAGAAATGTTTTAGTCCCAGCAATTGCATACTGCGACAAAGGAGAATTGATGGGCAGACAGTGCGTTTCTTTTGAACGCTATCCAAAAAAAGAAATCAGACCAATACTCACAGTCGAGTCGCGAGCAGCAATGGCCACTTGTCCTCCCAATTTCGCTCCTTGCGGTACGCAAAATCGAAAACATCCATCTACTGACTGTTGTTCAACGAGTGAAGTGCGGCCAGTATTAACTTGTTCGGCAGGTTTTGAATTAGTAGGAAACGAATGCCGAGCAAAACATGACGCTGAGTTTACTTGTGCAGAACCCGGATTTGCACGAGACTTTCTGCTCGATCAATGTGTAATGACTCAGTACATGGAACCCACGATCACTTACCAAGCACAGATCCAATGTCAAGGAGCAAATTGCAACACTGCTATTTTTGACTCAGGCCATCGCCACGGGTACCATCATTAAAATTAAATAATCTTAATAATTAAACATTTTTCCGTTGATAAATATTCTCTCTCAAAATAAAACCAAGCATAATTTCAATTTCTATATTCAAATGATTATGTACGTAAATTTTATTCTTAATTAATTATCATATGTCTAAGACTAATTTATAGTCTTAAAAGAAATTGCTTATTATACAGTAGTAGCTGCGAACTAAGCACGAATAAATGGCATTTCGGCAGTTTATTAAAATAGGTTATGATATAAACAACGAATTAGCTAGATCAAACGAGATAGACACGAGTGAAAATGGTCATGAGCATTTTGAAAAAAAGCTGCCAATTGTTTTGTGTGCATATCCAAATAATACCAGAATCGAAGCAATAGAAAATGAAATTATCCAGCACGTGGTGAGCCTGGAAGCTCACCTAGAAAAAGGTTTGCAAAAGCTAGATGATTCGCGGAGCACGATCACTTTTCAGTTGCAGAGTGTACCTTGCTGGTGTTCAATTCGTCAAATCTCAGAAGTATCCACTTTGCCAGCTTACATTAAATTATTGTACGATTTGAACAACTATTTGTCAGATAAAAGTGTTAAAAAAAAACGAAAAAAAATTAAAAAAACAATTAATGAATTGCAAAAAGAATTGATCGACCCCTTTGAACTGAAGAGAAAAATTTACAACGTTTTGATTTACGACACTTCTAACTGCGTATGGGCGGAAAAAATTTTGTTCTGGTTATCTAAATTAAAACACAGCCCACAAGTGAATTTTGATAGAATCATTAAAACATTAAGGTCGAATAAAAGTCTCCTCCAACAAAATAAAAAAAAAAACATAAATGAACCAAATATTCATGAAAAAACATCGTGTCGAAACAAAAACGATCCCGTGCAAATTTCGTCTTGGTATATTAGTTCGACTGAACTGCACGAACTGAGTAACCTAAAAAGTTATTTATTAACGCTGCAAAATGACACCACTATGAGTAAAAATGAATTATTACTTACCAATCAAGCATTAACACAATATGAAAAAACGAAGGTTTTTGTAATTTCAGAATTCGCTAAGCAGTTTGTAATGTTATTGTATCAAGTTGACGAAAACAATGTTAATTATTTATCAAATATTGCTGAAATAGCACAGTTGAAACAAATACTTGAGTTCAATCAGGAGATCAAGATCAAAAACAACATTACACTACTTGTTTACCAAGAATTGATAAATAAAATAAATAAAAACAATTACGATGTCGAAGATTTATTCATAAGAGAAGTGATTTCGCTTATATTTTGTCGAAATAGTAATAGTCAGTACATAGAGCTGGACGAACTAGAATTATACTCTGAAAAATATAAAGAAATAACGTTCCAGAACAAGATGTATAGAGAAGACAAAAATAATGAAAACAGTTTGTTGAGTGTTGAAGAGCTTTCGACAAAAAGTTCCCGCTTGGAAAACAAACATGCAAACCTAGGTCTAAATTTTTTTAATTTCAATGACGAAGAGTTATTTTTTGAAAATCAAAATTTGCCAGGAACTTTAAAGAGTTTGTTCCCAACAACATTTTTGCAAGTCATGTTCAATTTTTTTGACTTTGACAACATTATGTTGTTGTACAATGTACTTGAGTTAGAGTTAGATCAAATAACGATTAATGCAAATTTTTACTACAAGGCTTGGGCGTTAGAAGTATTTTTTATACATTTAACAATGATTAGTAGGAAACAGCTAAGCATAAATTTTGACTATAGTGCAAACGAAAAATCTACCTCCGCTTCAATTCAAACAGAAATTCATGAAACAAAGCACAACATTTCAAAAATATTTAAATCGATAAAAGCGCGCATTTCGCCAAACTTATATTGTTACACAGCAGGCCACACGAAAAACAGTAAAAACCCTCAAAATTCTGTGCAAGCTAGCGATTGTGAGAAGAACTTTTCTGATTCTCAGTTTCACACAACGAACTTTAGTAATTCGAAATCGATAAACTACTACGCTTACATAGCAGGTGGTTCAGCTGAACTTTTTATTAATGAAATTCAAAACAAGAAACTAGTAGATAAAATTACTAAGTTGAAATTCGAAAGCTGGTATAAAAAATTACGACAGCTGTATTTGAGTTTGGAAAAATACTTAGAAGACTACAGTGAAATAATTGAGCAGTGTTTGAACGACCCAGTAAACTTTTATAATTCAAACTCGATAAATATAAATTTGCTTGACAAAATTGACAAACTTTACGAAATAAGGTATATAATATGTTTGTTAATGCATTCAATGTTAAAATGGTCTAACTTCGAACTAAAAAGCTTGATAAAAGAAGTCTATCTTTTAATTTATGACGAAATAACAGAAAAAAAAGACGCATTAAAAAAACTATCTAGTGAAGTAGCGAAAACACAGTTGCGATGTGAAAAGCTTTTTACAACGTTTTCAGGATTAATAAACGCCGCAATTGAAGTTTTAAGTGACAATAACAACATTGAGCCGGACAAATTTATTGAACTTTGCACAATCATACTGAAAATTAGTACGCAGTACAATAAAAATCTGTCAAAAACAGACCAGATAGCAATGAGATTTTTTATTATTCATGAAGCAATAATAATGCAGGAAAACAATATTTACCAAAAATTGGAAGAAGAACTCATGAATATTTGAACAATAATATTTTGATCTATTTACACAAGAGTTATACAATATACTAAGATACATTCTACTTAACTATATACAGATTAAAATTTTTAAAGAATTAGACTTGATGTAATAAAAGCGCTAAAGTACATCAAAAGAAGTATTTTGAAATTAATTTACTATACACTACTATCTATTTAAAAAGAAAAGCGATCAATTTTTTAAAATTTAATGTGCGTTGGTTCTTTGTTAAACTTGTTTTTAAACATTGATTGCTCATTGTATTGACTACCACCTTGTCTGTTGTTTCCTGAGAAGTTATTAAACTTTTTATTAAAACCGCCGCGCTCTGAATTGTACGAGCTTTGATAGTTTCTATTATTGTCGTAAGGGCGACTGTAACCATTTCGGTTGTTAGAGTAAGACCTAGAAGAACCAAAACGAGAAAATCTGTTATCGAATGGTTTCTTGGCCATTTCAAGTAATGCTTGAGGTACATCTTGTTTAGTTTCATTTAAGATATTAACTAAATCTTTAGCAATTCCTCGGTTTTTATCTGAAAAGAAAGAATATGCGACACCGGTAGCGCCAGCTCTTCCAGTTCTACCTACACGGTGTACATAGTCTTCTACTTGTAAAGGCATGTCGTAATTGATTACAACTTTTACATTTTTAACGTCAAGACCTCTAGAAGCGACATCTGTTGCACATAAAATGTTTGTTCTGCCGCTTTTGAATTCGTCTAGAACGTACTTTCTTTCACTTTGGCTTTTATCTCCGTGAATTGATAAAGCTGAATAACCAGAGCCTCGAAGCTCGCTAGTAATAAAGTCACACGATTTTTTGGTCTCGGTAAAAATAATAATTAATTGTTTGCTATCTTCTTCGTGGAGTTTTTGCAACAATTCAAAGAGTTTATTCAGTTTTTCTGATTCATTCAGTAATAAAGTATGCTGAACAACGTTGTCAGAAGTTTTTAAAACGCAAGATCCAATTTGGACATGAACAGGATCATTGGTACATAAGTCCAAAGCCAGAGATCTAACTTCTTTAGGCCATGTTGCGCTGAAAAATAACATTTGACGATCTTTACGTATTCCGTCTATAATAGTTCTGATTTGCATTTCAAATCCCATATCAAGCATGCGATCAGCTTCATCCAAAACTAAATAAGTTACTCTACGCATTGAGATCTTTGAAGCAGAGATAAAGTCATTAAGTCTTCCTGGGCACGCAATAACTATTTCTACACCTCTTTTCAAAGCATCAGATTGTGTCATTCGAGAAGCACCACCATAACAAGCAACACAGCGCATTCTTGGACAAAATTCTACTGCACATTCTCGAATTTGTTCTACGAGTTCTCTAGTAGGGGCTAAGACTAAAGCTACAGGTCCTTCAAATTTACGGATAGGCGGCTGGTCAAGAACATGAATTACAGCAGGGAGCAAAAAACTCAGGGTTTTACCTGAACCTGTTTCAGCAATTCCAATGTAATCATGTCCACTCATAATGATAGGCCATGACTGAGACTGAATAGGAAATGGCTTTTCGAAACCAGCTTTTTTAATGCACTGATTAACCTGGCTTGGGAAACCTGCGTCTTCGAAAGTAAAGACGGGTCTAATGTCAAGGTTTTTCGTTAGGATCATAATGTTATTTTCTTTTCTCCATTTTTCTACTTCTTCTTCAGATAAGTTTAATGTCGCTTCGGAAGGTGTGTAAAAATTTTTTCTAAACGGCTCCGTAGAAGGAGTGTGGTCTAAAGGTGTTTGATATCTAGACGAGCCTCTATACCCATGACCTCCGTTTTGTTGCCTATAATTATTCGAATAGTTTGAATAGTTGTTATTACGTCCGCGAGGGGTAAAATCTGAAGACATTTTATGATGAAAATAAGAAAAAATTTAAGAAAATCTCATTTATTTATTTTTTTTTTATTTTTTATAGTTTTTTTTATATATAAATATCTACTCTTTAGTTTGTTTTTTGTATTCTTCGATTTTTCTTTTTATTTCTTCTTCACTTACTAAGTATTTATGAGATTTTAAGTTGAGTTTTTCATCGAATTCAAAAAGAATAGGAACGCAGGTAGCAATTTCCAATTCAACGATTTCTTTTTCTTGTAAATTTAAAATATGCTTCAGTATGGCTCTTATTGAATTGGCGTGAGCAACAACTAAAACATTTTCATATCGTTTCATTGCCGGTAACAATTCGTCACACCAGGAGGGCAGCACACGATCCAAACACATTTTCAAGCTTTCTCCGCGTGGAAGTAAATCTTTGGCAAAATTTGAGTATCTTTTGTCATTTGAGTACAAGTCAGATTCTTCCAGCATTGGAGGGGGAATGTCATAAGATCTCCTCCAAATAGATACTTGATTTTCACCGAATTTCTTGACAGTCTTAATCTTGTTTTTTCCCTGAAGCGCGCCATAGTGTCTTTCATTCAGCCGCCAACATTTGTACACTGGAAGGAATACACAATCCAAGTCATCTAATATAATGTCTAATGTGTGAATAGCTCTTTTTAAAACTGAGGTGTACGCCACATTAAATTCTATCTTAGCTTCTTTCAAATATTCAGCCCCACTGTGTGCTTCCTGAACACCCTTAGCGGTCAATTCCGGATCTAACCATCCAGTAAATATTTTATCTGCGTTGGATGTGCTTTCACCGTGACGAACAAATACGATCTTAGGCATATTAATTTATACAATTATTAAAAAACAAATGGAGCGCATTCAAAATTGATCGAAAAATAAATAACGATTAAATACAAAATTTTAATTTATTATTATTTAGAAATAATTCGTTAAAAGTTTATCGAATTCTGTCGTTTTTCATTTTCTTTCTTTGAACTTGTAGTTTTCAATTTTTGTCTTCAAAATGAAATTTTCATTTTATTTGTTTTCACAACTAAATGTCTACAAACTCACTAAATAAAAATGTGAAAGCAAACAAAGAAAACCAAAATTCGAAAAACGACTATGCAAGCTTAGCTTTAGCAGACCGTTTACTTGGGTCCAAAATCGAGCAGCTATTAAACCCTCCGTGCAAAAAAAAAAAATTCAAGTCGCCTACTGATATCTTATTTTTCCAAAAAAAAAATTCTCAATCTGCGCTTGAGTCATATGCTAACAGTCAACTAACTTATATTGATATAGTAAGTTTGGATGATACTTATGAAAAAACGCCAATTTTGGTTAAAAAAAATAAACCTGTAGATGAAATATTTTGCACAACCAAATCACCTAAACAGCAGGACAATAAGTCTCCACAAGGTGGTTTTGATGATGTATTAGTTTCATCTGATAAAAAAGGAATTAGAGACTCGCTAGTTGAAAACAGAAGAAGACGAAATAGATCGAGTTTATTAGCCCAAACTTGTCCTGAATCCGTTGATAATCCAACAAAACAATATACAGACAACGAGGTAAATAGCAATGAAACTAACATGAAAAAACAGCGATTAACATTTCAAAAAGAAAAATCTGATAATGATAATGTCCATATTCCAAAAAAACTTTCGATTCATCAAATTATTTCAACACCTATTCTTACTCGTAAATCAAACGCAGACTCCATGTACAAATCTCAATTTATGACAAACTATTCAGAAATAAAAGACTTCAAGATAATTCGCAAAACCTCTTTATCTCCACCCAATGCGCCAAAACGTTTGCCATCCCGTATTAGTATTAACAAGAAAGTTGAGAAATGCATTTCAAAAAAACCGGCAGACACGTCTGTTAAAACATTTATAGAATCCTCACCCACTAAGACTACAATATCGACTGAAATATCTAAAGATTTTTCTGTTTCAAGTTCTTTTTCATCTTTATCTGAAAATGTTTCAAAAACCATTCAAGATGTTTCACAAATTACTGAAAATAATCCTGAAATCTTTGAATATGCTCCAGAAATTCAAGAAAATATTTTAAAAGAAACTGAGCATGTTCTGGAAGCTGATGAAGATGTTTCTAAGACTCCTGTAGACGACTTAAAGGCTGTTGGAAACGGCTCAGTAACTCGTGAAAATGTTCCTAAAACAACTAAGAATATTCCATCCACTATTGAAAACGCCTCAGAAACACCTAGGAATATTCCAGAAACTACTGATAATGTTTCTGAAATTGTATCGGCAAAAAAAAATATACGTGCAAACAATACGTACTCTCACTTAAATCAGGATTATTTAACAGTGCGTCAATTATTAAGACAATCAATCGATGAAAATATTTTTTCAATGCCTGAAGAATATCGTGATATAACACGAAAAATTTTATGGTTTCAATTAGAACAATTTTACAAAAAACAAAACTACATTCGAGATTTTTCACTGATCACTGCCAATTCTTTTTTTCATAGCGGCCTAGCTTTTAAACTATTTGAGATTGATAAAAAATTAGCTTTAAAATTTGACAATAAAAAGTATGAATTGTCGAACAGAGCGAAGGAAATAGTTTTTTATTATAATCTTTACTTTGCAAATAACAAAGAAGAATATATTTTTCAAAACTTTTTGAAGTCTTTACTATCTTGTTTAAGAATAGATCATGTTCTTACTATTGCCGTCTTGAACAAGTGTAAAATCAAAAGTTTAGATTTTGATGTTATTGTAAAACGTATCAATGCAGAGATGTTTGATTTTTCTAACTATGCCAAATTTATAGAAACTTACAAACAAAACAAGATAAGGCGAAAAGATGAATCGATACTAGAAACTTTAAGAGATAAAATATTTTATCAATTTGGAGTTTACTCAAATTTCTTAACATTACAGTCAGAAATTTATGCTCCCAGCTCACAAATTTGCCACGATTCAAGTAAAAATAAATTTATTGGTTGTTACATTCCGCGAACACTTCCAGATGAAGTTGTCATCAGTATTTCTCGAGATGCACCGATTCCAAGACTTCCAAAGTGGCTTTCTGGGCACTCATGGGCCAATGTAATAGTTGACTTCAAGAAGCCATGTCCAACGTATTACAACGAAGTAATAACGAAAAAAATTACCCAAAATAGTTTGATTGATAAAGAGAAACCATTAATCGAACACATTTTCTTTGATTGCGAAGAAATTGAAAAACTAAAACCTTTAAGTAACATGTTACAAATCAAGTTTGAATGTTTACTTAACTCAAAAACTGAATTAGACAAGGAAGTTGGGGTAGTGCTTGTTTTACTCAATGTTTATCTGTTATCTGCAGATCGAGCTTTTTCAAGTTCTTCTACTCGAAACGATCTAAGTATTTTAGAATTAAATTTACAAAACGTCAGAATTAAAAATGAGGCAAACAAGAGTGTTTTGCTCAAACTAAACCAAACTGCTTCTCTTTATACGGAAACTGAAGTAGATTCCATGACTCAGTTTTACGAGCTCGTTACATCATCCAATGAAGATAGTTTGAAACAACCAATATTCAACCACGTGAATTTAAAAGGTATCAAAGCTTTTTATAAATCATATCATCCTTTTTTGTGTTCGAAAGCATTATTATTTTTAAATGTTAACAAGAATTTAAACACAAATTTGGGTCAGGTCGATGATATTTTATTAGATTTTGACATAGAAAGTTCTGATAAAGACATTACTCCGGCTTATAAAATTGAGGCAGCGTTGGTTAAAACTTTAGATTTTGCTAATTTTTATAAAACAGTTTTAATTTCTGCAAATGCGGAAAAAAAATATCATATTTATATGTGTTTACAATACCTAGAACGTAGATTATTGTCTTTAATCTCGAATAAAACTGTGGATAAGATATCTTCAGCGTCAATAGAAGCTTATATCGACGATCTAGAATTGAAATTGACGAGATGTCAAGAAAAAACCGAGCAATTTAAACTCCTTTCTTCTGAAATTTATAAATACCGGTTGGAAATTTTTACAAAACAGAGTACACATTCCATAGGTTCTACTTATTTTATACTAAGTATAATTGATCATAGGATCTTGTATAAGTTTATCGTAAATAATAATTTTGCATTTGACTGTTATTTCCCAACGAAAATAATCAACAGACTTCCGTTATTTCATAATCTTATTTGATACTATGATTTTCTCATAGTTGTAAAATTTTATTGCTATTAAGTTAAACTAACGTATGTTTGCTCAAATCAACATAAGATAAAACCTTCAAAACTTATTTTCAGAAAATCATAGTTTTTATACTGAGATTATAAAATTTTTCATATCATAAAGACGATATTAATTTAACCCGAAAGAGTTAAGATATACAAAAGAAAATTTAATTCTTAAAAGAAAAATTATGCATAGAGTAATATAGAATACTAACTTAAGCACCAAAACCGTAAAGTGTTCTACCTTGACGTTTAAGGGCATAAACGACGTCCATAGCAGTGACAGTCTTTCTCTTGGCGTGTTCAGTATAGGTAACAGCGTCACGGACAACATTCTCTAAGAATGATCGAAGCACACTTCTTACTTCTTCATATATGGCGGCAGAAATTCTCTTAACACCTCCTCTTCTGGCAAGTCTACGAATAGCTGGCTTCGTGATACCGTGGATGTTGTCTTGTAAAACCTTTCGGTTTCTAATCATAGGGCCTGATCGTTCAAGACCTTTACCTCTTCCAATTCCACTCATTTCTAATTTTTTTGTATTCAGATAAATTTAGGTTGTATGATAAATTTAGAGTTTTAAATTTGTCTTAAAAGTTTAATTTATTCTACAAAATACGCGTACACACGTTAATTTTTTTTAATTTTTTTTATTTTTAGAGACAAAAAAAATACCGTTTTACGCCGATTTGATTTGTTCATCAATCTAAATTTCTTATTATTAATAATTTATTAAAACAAAATTTAAGTAGAAAAGATTAAAAAACATGTCTGGAATTGGTAAATCAGGTGGTAAAGGAGGTAAGGTAGGAAAATCTCTTTCTAAATCGATTTCAAAATCAAATCGAGCCGGACTTGTCTTCCCAGTAGGAAGAATTGCAAGAATCATTAAGGAAGCTCACTACGCCGACAGAATTTCTGTCAGCGCTCCCTTGTATTTAACTGCTGTTCTTGAATATTTGGTTGCGGAAGTTATCGAAGGCGCAGTACAAGTTACAAAAGAAGGAAAGAAACAGAGAATCAGTCCACGACACTTGCTCATGGCACTTACTGGAGATGAAGAATTACACATACTGACCAATGGTGTTGTTATTCCATCTGGTGGAACTGCAAACACTACTAGCTACAATTACACGACTAAAAAAGGAGATGATATGGGTGAAGATCAACGACTCACTTCAGTGTAAGCTGTTTGTTGCTACTTCCTAATTCAAACTATAAAAACTATCTCTTTTGTTTTAAGCAGTTAAATTTTATATTGTTTTCTACTGGGTTTATTCATTATTATCGTAACTGTTTTTGTGCATCTATCTGAAAGCAATAAATTTATGTAAATATTAGTTTCCATCGAAACTTGTATATATTATTTGTCTCGATATTTTATATTATTCGAACTTTGTTTATTTGTACAAATAACAATGACGTAGCGGAAATACTGATTAATCAAGAAATCGTCAAAAAAATAATTATAAATTTTTGTTTGATTAGTATATTAGACGTTGATGTCAAATATTAACTGTCATACTTTCGACCTTAAAAACGTGGTTATAGATGATACTGAAGTTTTGCAGCATTTAAAAATTCCGCCTTGTCCGTTCAATAAAATCAACATCGACATTTACAGTGTTGACGAAGTATTTCCGAAACAACTTATTAGAAATTCTGATGAAGTAAATATTCACGTTTCCAGTTTATTCAAAGTTAGGTTTTTAGATGATATTGTTGTTTCACTTTATGTTGGACCGAAAATACTCGAAAACAACGAAGTCAGAATCAAAAACTCTGTTGAATACACAATCAAACGGTTTCGCTGTGAACTTACAAAACCGTCTAAAAATAATATTTTAAAACAAATTATGCAATATTCTTACTTGTTGCAGGCTCCTACCGCTTCAGAAACGTCGAAAACTATTTACCAATTATTACTGTACAATTTAGCAAAAAACACAATCAAACTTTCAAAACAATCAACTAAGCTACTAACAAAATTAGACGTTCAAATTCTTTACTCGCCGCGGATTCCATTACAAGTAGTGCACGATTGGAAAGAAATAACAAAATATAAATATGACACTAACGTATTAAGAGGGAATAACTCACATAAAACTTTTTCACTCAACCACGAAAAAATATCTAAATTATTATATTTTTCCGCTATTGGATTATGTAAAATAAAAAGACTAAGTAAACATGCTATTAAATCAAATTCAGAGCTAGCTTATAATAAAAAACAAGTTTTGATTCCCACATATTCAGACGAATGCTTTCGCAGTTGGTCTGAAACTATGACTGATAAATTTATAAATTTTCAGAATGAACAAATTATTTTAGATAATTTTGACCCATTAATTTTTAACCAAATTAATATTCCAATTAAACCTTAAACAGGATATTGGGCAAAAAGTAATAATAATTAAAAATATTTATTTGATGTCACTTACTACACCTTCTACTGTTTTAAAGGACAAAAAAAAATTCAACCTAGTAAAAAAAGAACTCACAAACAATGATTTAATAAAAATCAACTTTAAATTTCCAGACCAAACTACCAAAACCGTAAGAACAAAGCCCAATCTCAATCTTCTTGAAATTGCTCATTCGAACAAAATTCCTGTCGAAGGAGCGTGTGAAGGCGGTTTAGCCTGCACAACGTGTCATGTGATATTAGATAATACAGACTACAAAAAATTTGTCGAACCTTCCGAAAAGGAAGAAGATTTACTATGTGAGTCTCCTTGCGTTACTGACACCTCTAGATTAGCTTGCCAACTTGAAGTCAAAAAAATTCATGATGGATTAAATGTATTGCTGCCAAAATATACAAAAAATTTTTATGTTGACGGTTTTGTGCCTGAAGCTCACTAATCTTTTTTTGAGATTTAAAAATTAACAAAAAATTATATTATTATATACTATATAATTTTGAATATTCTGTTAATTAATTAATGTATTATAAAAAATAAAACAATCAGCTTTACTACGATAGTTCATTTAAAATTTTATATTTATTATTATTTATGGACAATTTTCAAAAGTTTGTATCTGAAAACGGCATTGATAAAATAAATTATTCCCATGATGTAAACAACAAACCAACCTATACCAATTTCAATAAAATAAATATTGAAGAGACGAAAAGAAAAAATAACTCGGCCAACATAAATAATAAAAATGGGTCCCTAATTTTAGAAACAGATGATGTAACGTGGGAGTCAGCTGATTACGAAATAGCTCGAATTTGCAGTTACGAAAACGATCTTAAAAATTTTCATGGGATCCTTAAATTGTCCACACTTTCTAGTTTTACATTAGCAAAGAAACATTTTAAAGAACTATCATTGTTAATTCATCCAGATAAATCGAGTAACGTTGATGCATCAAAAGCATTCAATATTATAAAAGAAGCATTGACTAATTTTGACGCAAAAGAATTCATTGAAGAAAAGAACGAACTACTAGAAGAAATCACAAATAAAGTTCACAATGCTGTCATGAGGAAAAACGCTAAACTTAGAAAAAAAAACAAACTTTTAATCGACCTTGATTCTAGTCAAGTAAAAAAAATAATTAAAGAAAAATATGATAAGGAATTTGAAAAGCGGCTTAACACACTTATTTATAACGATAAAACCGTTAAATCTAATTTTGAATATTTAAAGAAATTAGCTGAAGAGCAACGTTTGAACACAACGTTTTATAAAAAACACATTGAGCATTCAGGAACACTAGTAAATGAATACAGTGAAATGTGGAAAGCCCACGTGGCTAAAAAAAAAAACTCTAAGTAACCAACTGCCAAACTTGCAATATAGGCGATTCAAACTGCACGTTATAAGCGTCTATAAAGTCACTATTATTCTCTGACACGTCGACCCAGTTCTCATTGATTTTAATGAATATCTGGCAGTTGGTGAAATCTAGATTTTTTCTTGATAAACTCGAATTGAAATTCATTGTTTTATAAAGAGAAACGTTGCATATCAATTGATAGTCTTGGTTATTACCAAACAGATTTTGACTTTGAGAGACGTTATAAATACATCTTAACTTTGTAAAATGAGTTTGTTCAGTGTAAGTGGTTGAAGTGTACTCGTAGTAAATAAAAACATATTTTTTGACATCAATCGTAGAAATTGTCTTTCCCTTAAAGTAGCCGCTTATAATGCTTGCGAGGTGGAATTCGTTAGCTTGAGAGCTTAAAGCAAGCTGAAGCTCAGGTAAATTAAGCTTGAGACAAAATATTTTGTCATTAATAATAATGTTATTTGTTATCGTTTCTCTGAGTGCTTGTTGAATTTGAAAAGTGTTTTTGGAAGATAAATTAAAAAGTGAGGAAAGCAAAAAAATAAGATATTCGAAGGGTGATACTTGTTGTACCGATCTGACCAAGCTGGGGCCGAATTTTTCAATGTAATTGAACAACCGATTTACGGCGACAGACCCTTTTATGGAGTTAGTAATGGCCTGCTTTTTGTATAAAAGTATTAATTCAAAACAAAAAACAGCTTCAGAGTCGTTTTTGTTTTGAAATTCCGAAAGGTCAGTGTCACAAAGCAAAACTCGAAGTGGAATTACTTGTCCAAGAGCATATAGTGCGGCTTTTAATGATGATGATTTGCTGTTGGAAGTAGTGAATGTAGCATAGCCAGTAATATATTTTTTTTTGTTTAAACCGTACGAAAATAGGGAATGAGTTTTTTTGTTTAACTGGATCTCGTTTATGAAACCAAGGTTTAGCTCTGAAAACTCGATTTTATATGCGTTCAAAAAAGTTTTTATTTCATTCAGTGTACTAGTAGAGTCAGAACTTTTGGAAAGAATTTCGATTAAAACAGTTCGATAGCAATAAATTAAAAAAGAAAGCGGTTTGTTTACTCGCGGTATGAAATTATCAACAAACATTTGATACGGTTTATTATCAATGGTTGTTTGATCTGACACAGAGTAAAATTCGAACGTATTGACGTCGAAGAAGATATCGTGCGAAGTATCAAGCATGTGAATGAATGCATTGGAGTCTTCAGACACAGACTCAAATAATTGTGCACATGATATACAAAGAAAAATTTTATTTCTTGCAGTGTTAGAAAATGAGTAAAAATCAATGTCTACGTCAAAGTTTGCAAAATCATAGCTCATTATTACTTCTAAACGCTTAAACAGATAAAATTAGGTATTGCTGTAATATATTTTTTTTTAATAAAATTGATATACAACCATTGCCAAGTTTGTTTGCGTATATGCTTGATTTAAAGAAAATATTATTTAATTTAAAAAAATTTGTAATTATTCATAATTTATTTGTCAAACTCTCAAAAAATATTGAGTCTTTAAGTGTTTAAGAGCTCAAATTTACATTGATTTAATAACTAGATTATGTTTTCACAAGTATTAAATTTAAACAAAGAAAATTGGGCTGACATACAAGAGGATGACAATACAATTATTACTACAAATGCTGAAGGCCAACGGGTAGTGCTAAACATTTTTAACAGTACGAATGGTACGAAAATGAAGTATAAGCGCGTTTTTGACGTGATTCAAAAAACCGAATATATTCCAAAACGCTGCCTCGAACGAAAAAATAACTGGCAAAAATTCGGAATTGACTTGTTAGAACCTAGTTCTCCGGTTTACCACAAATTTCGTTCCACGCCTTTTGAATCGCCTGAAGTACTCGTTCCTGGAGTTTTGAACGGCGCTGCTATGTTGTCGAATTCCGAAACCGACGTGATAGGTGAACTTCCAACACTTGAAGTAAACAAAAAATTGATGAACGAGCTTACTAGACTTATGAATGCAATTCAGAACCAGGATTTCAGTAATGTTAACAGTTCGCTAAACAATATCGAAATGCAAGAAGAAGAAAACAACGTTAACGACGATAAGTTTGGCGTTCGTTATTTCGATGACGATAAAACTATTAGAGTCTCTGACATTCCGGAATACGTTACTGAACAAGAGTTGGAGGAAATATTCGAAAGAGTTGGTCCAATAAAGCGATTATTCTTAGTGCACAATAAGGAAACACTTGTGTCAAGAGGGTTGGCATTTATCACATATCACGATATTAGCACTGCAGAAAAAGCTATTAAAGTTTTTGACGGCAAAGGCATCAGTGGCGCTATTGTGAAAATCAGTTGGTCACGTCGATAAGACGCTGTTGAGACCCAATTAATTAATTAGGTCTCGAAATAATATTTTGAATTTTCGAATAAAAATCAATTTTTAACAAGTTTGTTTCCTCGGACAGTTTAATCACTTTACGTGCGATAATATGATGTTTTTTTTGTGGAATCAAGCAAGGTGTATCTTCGACATAAACTCAGATCAAAATATTAATGATTCTGGTAAAGAATTGCTTAATATTGTGGCTGGACTAGATTCAATGAAGATTAATAAAGATGGTTCCAATAAATTTACGTCTTATGAATTGAGATCGTTTAAACTATTGTTTCTTAATGTTGCGTCGGGATACAGACTTGTAGCCCTTGTTCATACAAATTATCATTTAAACCAAAAAAGTTTGTTATACATTTATCACAATTTATTCGTACCATTGGTGATAAAGCATAGAAATTTTCTGCCTTTGGTTTCAAATAAATTAAACGATAATTTATATGTCGAGGAAATATGTGATTTACAACGCAATATTATTTATTCTAAAAGTTCATTTTTATGGCAAATTAAACATTATTTTAGTGAATATTTTACTTTACATAATGATTTGAGAACTATTCAATAAGTTTTGAAATTAAAACTTGGGTTCAATAATAATAAAAAATATTGGAATTGTAAACAAGGCTTAAAATGATAAAATATCCATGTAGCGAGCCTGGATTTGAAATATTTTGTGGTGAAGACAAATATGAAAACGAACTTCTTATTGAGTATGGTCTGGACTGTGATGTGTGGTTTCACGTTTCAGAATTTAGTTCGCCGCATTTTTATGTAAGATGCCCGGAGAGATACGATATAAACAATTTGCCAAAAGACATAATATGGACTTGTGCGCTTTTGAGTAAAGAAAATTCTATTCAAGGTTCAAAGCAATCACATGTTGCCGTGATTTATACCCCGTGGAATAATTTGAAGAAAGAAGTTGATATGGATATTGGAACAATCGGTTTTAAAAACCATTTGGATGTCAAAAAGCTTTCCTGTGTTCGTAACAATGCTAAGTTGTTTAAAAAATTAGACAAAGAAAAAGTAATAATTGTCAAATCAGTTAAAGATTATCAAGAAGAACGCGATAAATACAGAGAGCTAATGCAACTGAAAAAGAAACAAGAATCAAAAGCTGCGTACGAAAATGAAATGAAAGAAAAAAGACTTCTGGAAGAAGAAATGAGATTGAAATCATATAAAGATTTGACTGTGAAACCTGACTCTACACCAAAAGGCGATGGGACCTTACTTTCATGTAAAAATATTGAGGAAGACTTTATGTAGTTCACTAAGTTATTAGAAAGATGGTCATACAATATAGAATGTCTTATTATAATCTAAAATGAAAATACATTAATGCTAGAGCAAACTTATTGTCTTGCACAATATGCTCTAGCGTGAGCCTGTAATCTTATTAAGTTCTTAATTTTGGGTTTGAACGATTCTTCGAATTGATATACTTTGTACATTGATTCTAATAAAACAACAACAGAAGACCAAGCACTAAGTATTTCACGTTGTTGTACAACGAGCTCTTTAACAGACGATTTTTTGACGAACACCATAGTTTTTCCAATTTGATAATTACTTTTGCCAATTTTGTATTTTTGCATTATTGCTATTATAATAGCTTTTGGTTCAAGAAGATCTGGTGCCTCTACACTTATCGCTAAATATTTAAATTGAAGCAGGAATTCATTGAACGGTCTTCTGTAACTATAACCAAGGTTACGAAGTTGTAACGCTTCGAATATGGACAGTGAATGTAATTGCACTAATACTTTACTTGGAGTATAGTGAAGTGGAGCTTGTATTTCATTTGGTTTTAAACATCTAATGAAATGAGCCTCAGTTTCGTTAATAATCTTCATTAAGTTATTAAGTTGAGTTAAGAAAGTAGAAGAAATAAGCTGGTTTTTACCAATCTTACCTTTAACAACTTCTGTTGTGCTAAAAGCATCTTTAACTACTGGAGATTTAGACGCCTTAAGAACTGATACTACTTCAAACCTTAGTAGATCGCGATTTTTACTTGTAAAATTGTCAGCGCAATATTGGATATCTCCGATCGTGTGAGTAACAATGAAGTTAGAACCTCCTCCTATTTTAGATTTGGAGTAATAGCTGTTAGAAGCTAATTGCGTGTTACACTGATGAACAAATCGGTGATCATCTCCTCCTGGAGCCATACATACATCTTCTAAACAACTGATAATTGAAAGGCTTTTGGCTGTCAATAAATCAATGATAGGTTTGTTTGTAGTCCATGTGATTTCAGAAAAAGAAATTCCTTCTTCTTTATATAAAGTGCTTTCTCTGTGGAAAACTATATCGACAAAATTTTTTTGCAACATTTCATTTGTAATATTAATGAAAAACTGTTCCAGCGAGTTTGTTTTGAAAACTTCAAAACCGAATATATCTAAAATGGCAATGAACTTTGTAATATTTTTTTCTGGACAAATAATTTGGTTAAGTTTTTTGATTAACCATTCAAAAATGTTTATGTATAACGCTTTTGCAAAAGAATCTCGAATGATAATGGCTTCGGATTGTTTGTAATTACTGTGAATTTCATTCTGCTCAGATGGAGAATTTATAACTTTTTCTAAAAGCGCATTCTTTAGATCTTTTTCATCAAGTTGAAGTAAATAACTAATCTTAGTTAATACGTCTGAATTTTCGATTCGTGCTGCGTCCGGAATTCCGTTGAACTCATGTTTACCGATTTCTATTTCTCCTATGAGTAGTACAGAGGAGATACATTTGAAAATTTCGTCGACTTCTTTGTCAGTAAATCTCATTTTCTTAAACGCTTCTTTTAGGACACCAAATTCTTTTACATCGTCAATACCTGGAACACTGGATTCCATGTCATTGTTACTTATATATTTATAAGAGGATTGAAGGTAATATTTTGATCGTTGTTCAGCAGTAGCTCCTTTCAACAGCTGGTAGAAAATATGATAAGTTCTTTCATGCTGAGACTGTCCCACAATTCGACTTTTTTCTAACAAGAAACATTGTACTTTTCCTAAAAGAATACCTCCTGTTTTGTTGACATATAATTGCATAAAACGTCCGAATCTACTACTGTTATTATTTCTGATTGTTTTAGCATTTCCGAAGGCTTCCAGAATCGGGTTACCTGCAATTACGGCTTCTTGAATGGATGAATCTTTTTTTCCGTCGGCCATACAGGCGAAAAAGCTCATTATTTGTTTACTTGCTTCAGTTTTACCGGCGCCTGACTCTCCACTAACAATAATAGTTTGATTTTTTTGAACAGTGTATAAGTTATCGAGCGCGGTCTTCGCGATTGAAAATACGTGAGGTGGAAGATCCTGGACATTTGGGGCGTTTTGATACTGTCTAATTATTTCTATAGTAGTGTTGTTAAGATTTTTATACGGGTTTACTGCCAACAAAAGTGGATCAGCTGTCACGTACATCATTCCGTTAATATATCTTTGTCGAATGAAATCAAGAACACATGGAATATTAGTGTGTGGAAGCAACCCAATGTCTGGATATGCTAACAAGTCTATGTTTTGATTACAGTTGTTTACTTGATCACGTGTAGCTTCAAATGACTGATGGCTAAGATCTTCAGGGTCTATTTGTCTTAAAACAAACTTTTCAGTCGTTGATCCTGGCAAAACTAAACATTTTGCATACAATAAATCAGGATCATTTTTTACCGCAGGGGCTGCACTACACCAAACTTGTAAACCTTTAAAAGTATTACCTTGCACATCAGTAATATGTACCACGGAATTTTCTCTCTGTAGTTTTGGAGGCATAGTTATTTAAAGATATATAATATTATTAGATATGAGTATTGACATGCTTGCATGCAAAAAATCATCAATGAAATACATGTTTTAGTTATGTTTGAGCTACATAATATTTGGTTTATTGTTTCTTTATTCCATTGATTTGTTTCTTATATTTTTTTTTCTAAACAATAAGTTATATTATGACATAATTTTTAAATCGTATAATGATAAGAGTGATCACTTATCGCATTATATTTTTATCATATCTGCTAACTTGCAAAGCTAGAGATTTTGATAAAAAGGATGATATATTTAATACAAAAGATATTTCTGATTACATTAGTGTTTCGAGAACGGAAATAGATTCGCGATTTGCAAATTTTAAATGGATAGGAGAACTCAATGACACAGTTCTTTTACTTACAGAAAACGGGAAACTACACATTTCGTATGAAGGTGGAATGAATTTTAAAAAAGTTAAATTGAAAGACAGCGTCCCTCTACGATCAACTGCAAGATTCAAAAAAATTATTGTTCATCCAAAAAATAAAGATGTTGTATTTTTACTTGGCGAAGACGAAAGTCATTATATGACAAAAGATGCAGGGCAAAACTGGATTCAATGGCCAGTAAATATGGAAATTCATGACTTCGTTTGGCATCCTACTAATTCTCAGTACGCATTATTTAGTCATTGGACTGACGGTTGTTCCTCTTTGATTTCAACCAATGAACCATGTAAACAAATTTTATATTACACTAAAAACCAGGGAAAAACGTTTCATACTCTCGCTGAAGGAATAATACAATTCAATTGGTCCGCTGATCCAAATGAGACTAGCTTAATATATCTGACAAAGCATCGGAAAATTATAAAGAATCAACCATTGGGGGGAAAGTGGCATGATAACGTAGATTTTTTATCTACGAAAGATTTCGGAACGACATATAAAAATATAATAAAGAACGGAAACAAATTCTTGGTTACTAGAAATTTTATATTCGTAGCAAAACTTAAAAATGTTGAAAATCAAACCGTCTCTTTACTAGTTAGTCACGACTATGGACATAAGTTTGCAGAAGCAATATTGCCAGGTAATTTAAGTGAGTTATCTTATACTATTATTGACACTTCGTCTGGAGTTGTGATGATTCATGTTAATCATGGTGGTGGTGTTGACGAGAAGTACGGAAATGTCTATGTATCCAACGAAGATGGAACCAGGTTTTCTCTTTCGCTGCGTAATAATGTGCAAAACGTGACAGGTGAATGTGAATTTGACCGTGTGTCAGGGGTTGACGGTGTATATTTGGCAAATTATTATCAATTAGAAGAAGACCCAGAATTGACCGCAATTAACAATATAGGTTTCACGCAAACCGGACTTCAACTAGAAAAAGAAAAATCTAAAGTTAAACCGTTGCAGTCTAAAAAAACTCAACAGAAAGGTATAAGATCTGTTATTTCATACGATAAGGGAGCAACGTGGCATCATCTGAAAGCTCCAAAGCTTGATTCGAATGGGGCCCCAATTCATTGTGATTTATTCGAGAATTGTTGGTTAAATTTGAATGGTATATCTGATTTTTCTGAATACGCCCCGTATTATAGTGTTGACACAGCTTTGGGTTTAATAATCGGAACCGGAAACGTAGGACCGGTATTAAAAAAAAACGACGAAGTAAATACGTATATATCGCGAGACGCTGGAAGAACTTGGCATGAAATAGCAAAAGGAAACTACATTTACGAGTTTGGCGATCATGGCGGTGTAATTGTTCTGGCAAAAGATGGAACGCCAACAAATAAAATATTATATAGCATGGACGAGGGTCGAACATGGCAAGAATATATTATATCTAATACTTCAATTGTTGTTGATAATATTATTACGGAGTCTGACGCTAGTGGTTTAGCATTTCTTATTTACGGACATGAAAATTACAAAAACGTAATTTACCACGTTGAATTACGTGAGAATGGTTTGAGAAGTTGTGAAGGAGTTGATATTGCAGACGAAGAAAACACAGACTCAATTAGAACTGATTATTACAAATGGCAATTCATAGGTCAAAATGCCGCAAATGACTCGTGTGTGTTAGGACGAAAAATAAACTTCACGCGTCGAAAACCAAATCGACAATGTTTCAACGGTAAACAACTTGAACGTAAGTCAGAAAAAGTCTCTTGCACATGTACATTAAAGGACTACCAGTGCGAAGTAGGCTTTTATAAACAGATAGGTCCGTCTAGTGAATGTCTACCTAGTCCGTTCGCAGACGGAGCTCTTGTCGATGTGAATGGGTGTACTAGCAGTGGATGGCACTATGTCACTGCATACAGAAAGATTGTTGGAGACGAGTGTCAAGGGGGTGTACTGCCTAGTAAAGTGCCTGTCCCTTGTCCAGTCAATTCACCAACTGACCGGACTACAAAAATAAGTTTAATAGTCATTGGTGTGCTTATCTGCCTAATGGCATTATTAAGTTACGTATCGCGTAACGCTAGACTGCGCCAGTATATCCAAAACGTAGGATTCGACAATTTCACAGACGTAGGTTATTCTGTAATTGGGAAAGGAGAAAAAATTTATCAGTTTTGGACTTCACAAAATAAAGTTGAAGCACATGAAGCAAATAAGTTCGAAATTACTGGAGACGAACAAAAATTATAACGCAAGTATTGGTTTAAAAATTCATACTAATAATGCTAGATGCATTTAATCATTACATAATTAGTAACGGATTGATTTTAAGAAATTAAAGCACAAAACCAAGTTATTAGCTCATTAATCACTTGTTATCGGTCGAAATTTTCAATAATACAATGTAATTGATACACGAGTCATATTTTAATAATGTTTTAAAAAACACACAACAGGACGTTTTCAACAAATATCAAATGTAAAACTAATAATATTTATTTTATCATTAACACTCAAAATATATGGTCAGTGTTTCTAACATTAAAAAACTAGTTTTCCATTTTAGCGACTATTTATTAGGTTGGTTGCCAAAATTTTTCTTAAAACAAAATTTTATATTTACAAAAAAACTTATTTTAGATTGAACTTATCAAATTAACCAAGCTGTTTTTATAAAATATTTTTATGTTGATTTTTATCGTTATTTTATACTGAGTTAATTTGTATGAGACCGTGTATAAATATAAAAAAAGAATCAAATTCGTTGTAAGTACCTTCAATAAAAAAATTGCATAAACTAAACCAACATATGGACTAATAAACCTGTTGCTGTTTACAAGGTGCTATTTATATAATGTGTTATTTTTGCAGAGCTTTCTAAGTAGTTATTACTGCTTTGTAATAGACATAAAACACACTGCGGGTTTTAATTTTTTTATTCTTGATTGCATGAATAAGAGGCACAATCATCGTTAGCCTTACGCAGCTTTGCTGCAGTTAAATTATCCAAGTCGCAAAGATGCAATTTGGTAACAAATCCAAACGTGTTGTCAGATTGAGAATCATTTAATATTTTCATAAAATCTTTGTAAAACAAATAACCTTGGTGCTGTGTTTCGAATTGAATGAAATAACTTTGCCAGTAACCTGTATGAGTCAAAACCACACCATATCTCGAAGCAAATTCTAGCAGTAACAATAAATTGTTCTCGATAGTTAAGTCTAAAATTAAGTGGACAGTGTCGGCCATTTTGTGTATACCAGCGTCTAAATCGTAATTTTTATGCAGTGTAAAAAAATCGTTGGTGTTGAGCGCTCTAGAATTTGAAGCTGGATAGATCGTAGACTTTTTCAAAGTATCGTGCTGCAAGAAAGTCGCTGAGAGCGTGAAAGATTTATAATTTAATTTGTTGATAGTCAAATAAGTGTCATAGGCGTCTTGGATGTCCGCAAACTCGATCTGAAGTTCTCCAAAATTTTTGCCAGTATGCTTTTCAATGGGGATTGTAATGTTGTTGATGTTGCCAAACCTTTCAAACAAAAACTGAACATCTTCTTCGTCCAAGTATCGGAAATTGTTTTCGAAACCGGAAACAAGCAAAGTTCTAGCTCTACAGGCAACTAAGCGGGTTCTTTGATGTTTAAGTATTTTGGCTGAGCGGTTTCGTTCTGCTTGTGAGGCATGGACACGGATTTTTTGGCCTTTGAAAACTTTACCCATTAACTTCAAAGCGGTGGAAAAACCTTCGATGGTTTCAAATTCAGCGTAGCCAATTCCTTTCGAGACACCAGTGTTAGTGTCACGAATAAGCCTAAAATAAGGCCTCTCTTGGCAATTTGCTTCTAAAAAATCAATTATTTCAGCTTCTGTTGCGTTAAAAGCTATATCGGATATCAAAACGGTCCGGTCGTGCTTTCTGAAAGATTCAAGCTTGACGTTTCGCTTATTAGAATTTTCGCCAACAAAGTTTCTATTTGGACGTGTAAAACTCATAAAACTGACAAGCTAATTATAAATTCCAAAGCGCCTCATGAAGAGAGACGTTGCTGTGTCTGATTATTAATAGTCTAACCTATATATAAATATAAAAATGAAAAAATTAACTAAAATATTAATAATTACAACAAAAAGCTAAAGCAGAATTATTTGTATACTTTGCAAGATGAAATGGGGTGTCCGTCAATTTCATCGAACTCACAGAAATAATCTTCAATGTATTTCTTGTTAGCAATTGGACATAATTCAACCCATTCAAAGCTTTCGAATTGATCGTGATCTTTCAATGATTGAGGAAGATTTTTGGTAGAGCATACTAAGACCCCTTCGATGTCATAATGAGACTTTTTGTCTAAAACGTTACACACACCGAACAAATCTTTTCTAAGTTCGTTGTCAAATCGCTGTAAAAACATTCCTAAAAGGTTAGAAGCCTTGTAAGCTTCGACGTTTTCAGTGTCGTTGTATCGCTGATACTTCAAAGACCAGATGCTCATTTTATCGTTGTCGTAGTCATTCCAGAATTGTGGTAGAGCGTCTTTTCTAAGGCTCTTAGAGTTACTGTAAATTCTCTTCCATTTGTCCATGTTGAAATCAAGAAGTCTTGATGAAGGGTAGACAGTACAGATGTATCTCTTTAAAGATGTGTATTTGTCGATGTTGAGATCAGTACCGTCAGTTGGTAGTCTTAAAAGTAATGAAGCGAGAATGTAATCGGCAACAGTCAGATAGTGGCCAACAGCAAAGGACTGGGAGTTTAATAAGCTTTCAAAATATTGGATTGTCTTAGTAAGAGCCTTAACAGCTGAGTCTTCTGGTTCGTCTTCGCATTCAACGACAGCGTTTAATTGGTTGGTAAGCTCACCGGTGAAATAGTTGGTTAAAGTAGTCACCTCGCTTTGCTCGGCGAAAGAACGACCTAACAAACTTTTGGCTGGGAAACAACGGGCAATGTGATTAAGAATAGCAGGTACTCCGAAGATGAAACGTCCTTCAGAGATTATTACTGGAGATTTGACAGTGGGCGGAACTGCCTCTGCAATTGATTTGAATGATTTTTCTACAAGTTCAAGTCTCAAGCTTTTGGCCAAACCAAAGATTGGAGTACAAATTTTTTTGTCTGCAGAAGAAGTATACAAAACCTAAAATCGTATTTATCGTTTCATTGTGAGTGTATTAAGCTTTTTAGGTGTGGAAAAAAATTTCATAAATTTTGCAAAAGAAGTCTTTACCACGGCCCTTTTGCTGATGTGAACTCACGTGAAATTAAACTTACTATTTTTTCGCTCATATTGGATTCTTAATAATTTACTAGTGTTTTATTATTTTAGAATTTTATAAAGACACAACGATAATTTTAGTAAGTCACTCTCGGTTATTTCTTTCGTCAAATGTCTAAAGCTTCAAGAAAAAACATTGTTCCAGGAACTGTTGTCGTCATTTTGGCAGGACCTTACTCTGGAACCAGAGCTATAGCCGTGAAAAAACTTTCTAACGCTAAAATGGTAGTTGTTGGACCTCATTCAACCAACCGCTTCCCAATTGACTCCATTCCAGTCAGCAGATTGATTGCTACTTCTACCAAGGTTGACATTTCCAATATAGATTTTTCATCAATCTCTGAAGAGTCTTTCCTTAAAAAAAACAAGTCAAAGATTAATGAATCTGACGCAGTCAAATCTCTTTGCGCAGAAATAGTTAAATGTGTTGAAAAAGATGCAACTTTGAAGGCTTATTTAAAAAGTAAATTTGACTTAAACAGATGCTTCCGTATTCCTCCACACCAATTAAAATTTTAAATTTTAGGATTTTTTCATTTGGGTTATTGAGCTGTTTTAATATTTTTTTAAGTCAAAATATTTTCATAAATGATCTTTATATTTCGTATTATACTATAAATAACTTGCTTGTTATTCAATAAACTTCTTTTTCGATACATCCTTTCGAAATAATATGGCAAGAAGATCAAGTGCTTTAGTAAAAAAAAACTCGTACTATATTGATGAAGTGTTTTTGGGTAATTTTATGTCGTTTTGTGGCGAGCATAAAATTAGCCTTAATGCGGAAATCAATTGTATTATTGGTCCAAATGGTTGTGGTAAATCAAATTTAATGGATGCCATATGTTTTGGTTTAAATCTAGACTCTAAGCTACTTAGAAAAATTCAGTATGATAATATACGTAACGAAGATGTCAGCTGTGAACTGCCAGCTTTTGTTGAATTGACATTGACAAACAAAAAAATCCCAACTGACTCTTTGATTTTTAAGCGCAGTGTTGATAATAATAGTATTATATATTCATTAAATAATAGTATTGTCAATGAATCTAAATACGATAACAGCCTTGAACAAATAGGCTTTTGTAAAAAAAAATTTAACATTTGGTTTGTGTGTCAAAACAGCATTCCTTTAAATCAATTATTAGTAGCCGAATCTTTGGGTCAATTTCTATATAACCTAGTAATTGCTCAAGATGGCAACCCAAACGAAGCTATTAAATTACGTCAAAGAGAACTATTAAAAAGTATTGAAGAGCAAGAAACTAGGTTAGAATTGGCACAGCTGGATTTTTTAACATCAGCTCGTAATAAAAAAAAGTTTAATCGATATGTGGAACTTAATAAAAATATATCGCTGGCTCAAAAAGGGTTTTATGCATATCGATTGCTCGAAATAATTAGAAAAAAGCAAAAATGCCAAGAACTTGGAAGAATTATTGATCAATTAAATTTAGAAAATAATACATTTATTCAATCAGAAACAGATTTAGTTTGTACTATTAATAGTCAAGAACTTGAACTTCAACGAAAAAAAACAGAGTTAAAAACTAAAACTCAGGATTTGGACAATATCACTAATAAGACAAAAGAACTTAAAGAACTAGAACTAACAGAATCGTATGAACTGTTGGATTATGAAAATAAACTTAAATCAATAGAGAACAAAGAAGTAATTAAAAAAAACCAGAATCTTGTGACGTGCGTCATCAAAGAAAATTTGTCAAAGGCTATATCTAAAATTAATTTAATAAAGCAAGACTATGAATTCGTTTTAAAAATTATCGAATCTGAAGAAAGTTTAATACAATCAAAATGTTCGGACGTATCTTTTCGAAAAATTTTGGAAGAATTGCAAATCAAATTTTTGGTGAAGCCCAACCTAGCAACAGAAGAATCTAGAATCAATGACTTAGAAAATGATAGACTCAAATTAGAAATGCAAATAGAACAGTTCGTTCACGAAGAACAAGAACTTAGTGAAAATGTCAAGGTTTTCAAAGAAAATATAACATTAGCATTGAACAGTTTAGTGACGCAACTTAAAAAATATATTTATGGTTCGCTCAAAAACGAAGCATCAGAATTAGAAATATTATGTTCCAACTTAAATTTAACGTGTGAAGAAATTGACATAGCACAAATGGCCGCGGTCGTAATCGAAATAAAAAAGCTAGTTACCGGCAAAAAAGAAGATCTAGATAAATATATATCTTGTATCAATGAGAAAATCATATTACAACGTGAGAAAATAGCACTTATTACTCATTCTGAAAAAAAAACATCGAATGCTGAAATATGTCACAAACTACAAGAAAATATGGCAGGTGAAGTTTTGGGCCTGTTTTCTGAATTGTTACAGCTAAAAGAGAAGAAATTACAAGATCTTTTCCCACTACTTTATAAAATTTCAGGCGAAATGCTTGTAGTTTCAAGTTTGAAAGCGGCTCAAGCTTGCTTGCCTTTTTTATCAAAGCAGTATAAAAACAAGCTCGGTATTTTCATTCTTGACAAGCATCGAACGACTGTAAAAACCATTCAAAAATCTAAGAATAAAAATGTAATTCCAGTTTGTGAAGCAATAACAAGTTCAAATGACATGTTTAGTAACCAATCGAAACAACTGTTTCAAAAAGTAGGTTTTTCCCTGGATATGAATGCAGAAGAAGCCTTAGATTTTCTAGAAAAAAATAAAAGCTACAAAAAAATTATATGCAAAGATAGAACTATAGTTTCTGACAAAGGTTTTATCCAGCATGTGTCTGAAGGTTCGGCACAATTTGCCACCAGTTTGTACACTGAACAAGAAAAATTAAAAGATCTAGAACAACAATTAAACAAATTTCTCTTACTGAACAAGCATAAACTAGAATTGTATCAAGAGTTATCATTTTCATGCGACGAGATTATCAATTTGATTATGCAGCATGATGAACTAAACAGATCTTTAGATCATAAATCACGTAATGTAGAATGCTTCGTCAAGATGCTTAAAGCTACAGAGGAAGAAAAACTTATAGGTACCAAAATAATTAAAGCAAAATGTACAAACAAAACGCTTGATTTAACCTTGAATAATATATCGATAGATAAAATACTTGCTAAATTCAATGGCCAAGAAAACATTGAGAAATTATTCGAAAAACTAACTGAACTTTATAATTATAGAAATGAGCTAAGTAATCAAATTTCTAGTATAATTGAATCGTTCTACTCAGAATACAGTTTTGTCATTATTGAGATTAACGATTTTTTAACGAGACCAATGCTACTAAATGAATTTCTCGTTAGAAAACTACCGACATTAAGCATCTTGTTAGAACAGAGTTCGCTTGAAAAATTTCAAGATTATGTTTTCTATATAGAACATAATTTAGAGCGGTTGCACAAGGTGTTCATTGACTTGAATGAAAATCTGAAACAGCGTAAAAATAGATTAAGCAAGTTACAAAACCAAATAAGCTCAGAAGAAAATAAACTAGTTACAGTAGTTGCGGAAAAATTTAAACTGGAACAAGATTGTACAGCACTTGAATTAAGTTTTATTGAGCTTAAGAGAAAATACGAAAAGCTGCTAACTAATCAATATTTACTAATTCTTAAAAAAGACGAGCAAAGCAAGTTGACAGCCCAGTTTGAAACTGAATTTAACGAGTTAATAAGTGAGTTAAAAAATGAGAACATAACGTTGACTTTTGGAAAAATTGCGCTGACAAAAGATTTTTCAAAATTAAACCAGATCAGTGAAAGCATAATACTGAAAGAATATAACACATTCAGCTCATCTTCAGAATGGTATAATAAATTGATCGAACTCAAGCAAAAACTAAATGAAGTTTCTGTTGATGTTAATGTTGCAGAAAATTTGCAAGAAAAAAGCAACTTAATTGAATCATTGGAATCAAGTTTAAAAGAGCTGAAAAATGAACTACACAGCATTGTATCGGATCAAAATGTAAAAAACTCTAGAAACTCGTATGAATATTTGCAGTTCTGCAGATACATCTCTAATAATCTATCATATTATTACAACAAAATTACTAAGTTAAGCGCGTCAAAAAATCACACGAATAACGTACTAGTAACATTTTCTATTACCGAAAAAGCTGGCGCATTAACTCCAGTCGCAAAAATAACGACCACACCGCCAAACAAAACGGCAACAGAGATTGGAAAATTGAGTGACGGAGAGTTTACATCTGTTTGGCTGGCGCTGGCTATTTCAATAATTAAATATTTCGAATTGTCAGTGTTTTATATCGACGAAGCGGATTCGAGTTTAGATAAGTCTAATTCGTACAATTTAATGCAAGTTTTAAAAACTTTAGATATACAAACAATTGTGATCACACATAAGCAACAGTAAGTTATATGAATGCAATCTTTCTTGTAGTTTATTTTCATTGGTCAATGTCTTAACAGGAGTTTATAAAAATAAAAATACAAAATCAAGCAGCATAATCAGATATGATTTATCTGCGTACAGTGAAGCTTGACGAACAAGCTATCTAAGATTATATTCAGAAATTGAATTAATATTTATTTTCTGTTGCAATTATTTAATTACGATATAATTAGTAATGTGGTGCAAATCATTAGTATTAGAAAGAATAGTAATTTGAAAATACTGTGTTACATTGTGTAATAATGTTAATTTTCAGTGATGGGCTGCAAATCGTCAAAAATTAAAAATAAAAATAGTTCTTTGCAAATAGAACAATATTTTTATCACGCACCAGATCCAGGTAGGTGGTTGTTGCGCATAGTTGACTTGTAGATTTTCGATGGTGTCGTATAGAAAATGCGCATCAGTACCCAGAAACTGGTTGGGAATGTAACTTTGAGAATTTGACAACGGCAAGCATATTAACCAATGTGAACATAGTGAACTTGGCCTTGAACATTAGCATACGAGCGTTGAAACTGGCTGATCGGTTTGGTATCACGCAAAGCAGCAGTAATGCAGCGTACTACTATCCCCGTGGAAAGCCCACAGAGACTGTTAGCAAGTCGTGCAGCGAAGCTTATTCCTTGAACGCTGCGCTGGGTATTCCGAATTATCGATGGAAACTACTGCGAAGATTTCAAGATCTAGAGTCGATTCTGAACAGCCAAACAGATCTGTTTCAAAGTGAAAAAGAAGATCATCTGAACGTGCGTGGTATGCAGTTGATGGAAAACGGCGAAGGTAAAAAGTTTCTGGTAGATGTCGCAGAAGTTGGAATGAACATTGCAGAGCAATTATATAAACTTGAGTGTGGCAACGGAACAGAAGAAGTAAAAAACCCAAACGACGCGTTTGGGTGGACTATTATCGAGTACGAATGCGAGCGACCAGACATTTCTAGTGAAAATTTAGTTGTGGTGGCAAGTCCGGAGAAAGAAGCTCATTTTATGCTTTCAGAAGAGTTGATCATGGACGTGGCACTGTGGATCCAAGCTACATACTTAACTTCTCCATTGTTTTGAGAAGTGAGTTTATTTTTACAACTGAAAAGCCGTTTATTTCAAAATTAGTTCGTTCGCGTCGAATAGATCTAAAATAACGTAATTCTTAACAGAAAAAAATTTAATTGTGCCAGTATTATGCGATTCGCTTTCTTCTTCTTGATCAAGAAAAATGTAATATTGCGGTAGTTTATTATCTATCTGTAAATATTTGTATGTTGTGTAGAAATTAATTATTGGAAAACTTTTGAGGAAGTAAGGGTACAACGAATATTGGGACTGCACAAAATTCGCAAAAAGCTCCAAGTTAGATTTTTTCAAACTTGACTGAGGAAATAGACGTTTGGAAAAAATTCTTTTGATGGGCAGCGTGTTGATAATTATTTCAATCTGTCCTATGTTTATTCGCGCTGGAGACGGTGCCAAAGTAACATTCTTAAATTCGTGTGTTATGTAACATGTTTGGGCATCAGTCAAAGGACAAAGCGGCATAGAATTTAAAATAGGGTCCTTAGGGCTGGGAACCAATACGATCCTGCTAAAGTTCATTATTCGAGGAAACTCAGTTTTAAGCGTTTCAAAGAAGATGTTTATTAAACTGTAGTATTCAACAAACTTGATATGTGGATTGTTACATAAAGGACCTCCAAAAACGATAACCAACGGAAGAAAGTCAACTTTGCGATCGATTGAAGTTAGTTTACTGAGCTCAAAAATGTTGGACGGATCGACGTTTTTGTCGAACTCCGCCAGTTGTTGTTTAATATGTGTGACACGTGCAGAGTTATCGAGAGTGCAGTGGTTGAAGACGATGACTTTTTGGTTGTTAAAAGTTACCTTGCTTTGTATCGCTTGAGCTTTGAAATTGACAGATGGCTCAATTAACTTAGAGCAGTCCGGCAAAGATTCAATCGAGTAGGTGACCAGTTCGTTTTCGTTGTTGAGCACTCCTTTAACGATAACTAAATTGTCCACTAAAATTAAGTCTTGTGATTTGGTGCTGACGAGCGTTTTGTTCAATATTTTTAGTTTGATGCGGGCGGTCACGCCTATTAACCAGTAAATTACTTCATCGTTGTTCGAAAGGTCGTCGTCAATGGTGAGCACCCCGAGCAAAATGAGCTTTTGGTCGTTCACTCCGATGGCGTGCTCTGGAAATCGCAAAAGATCTTTTTTAAGCGAAGTTTCGTGACTCGACCACCAGTTATAAAGTTTTGCATCGATCAACCGACTTGCTGCCAGATTCAGTAAGTCAATGTAGTAGTCAGAAGTGTCGAATTTTTCATTTATCAAGGGCCCAAGCAACTTTTCAACTCGAAACGTATCAAAAAAAGCTTGCCAGTTTTTTCTTTGAAGGCGAAGTTGTTTATCAATCCGCAACTCTAGTTTGGAATTTGAAATTTCCAAGAGTAGCTTTTCGACTTCGATGTCTTTTAAGTTTGACAGTCGATCATAGAGAATTTCATATTCTTCTTGAGAAACTACGAGAAATTTAAAACCTTGTTAACTTACAATTTTGTGAATGCGTTGAGATTATGTTCAGATATTCAGGTGATAAGTCTAGTTTGGAAAGGGGTGAATTTGAAAATTGGGAAGAATCGAGATAATTCATTGTTTAGACATGTAATGAAGAGTTCATTTAAAAAACTGACGAGCTAAGGTCTAATGCGAGACTTGATTTTGTTTAATTAGTTGTCGCTAGTCACAGACGCACTTTGTAAGTTATCTTGAGGGGATTGCACTCTAACTTAGTTTTATGCTAACAAATTAAATATATTAATTAATATCTATTTTGAAATATCACCGCAGAAGACGAATCAATATTATTTGTAGGTTGATAAAAAACTAACTAATTATTGTATATATCTATATGAATTTGACTTTGTTTCATATGAAACATTATTTGAATTATGATATGAGTTGTAACATTGATGATTTAAATTGTAGTCATAGGCTCCGGACACGTGATACTGGGGTGTTGGGATCTGCGTGCTGGGAGACTGGTAGATACTGGAAGCGTAAGAATTTTGAACTGTTTCAGAATTGAAATATTCAGGAAAATAATCATTCGAGTAACAAGTGTGCGGAAAGTACTCTGGAGTTGTAGGGTATGAGCAGCTGTCGTAATCGCCATAGTAATTTTGGCACGAATTATATACTAGATGCTCATTTACGGGAGACTTGGCAATAGCAGGTAACGAGTAACTATGGTACCCATGGTACAACATGAAAGATTGATTAAAACAACTAGAATTAATTTGATTAGGAGAGTAGTAGTAACTTCCGTCTTTATTTGAATTATATTCGGGGTAGCTCGAGTAGGAATTGGGTATGGAATTGTAAGAACGGTTTGGTGTTTGTGTATTTTGTACGAAGTTGCTGTTTGAGTAAACAAAAGACTCGTATTGTTGTACCGTGTGCGAATCAGGAAATATTGGCATCGAGCCGGTATATTGTAATTTTTTTTTGTTGGTCGAGTTTAATTGTAATTTCTTAAGCTGTTTGGATCGAATAAACTGATTTGAAATTTCATAAGCGATTTCTTCTAAATTACATAGTTTGGCTATTTCGACAAGTTGAGAAACAGTAGCTGAACGCAAATATGCTATTTTCTTAACTCTATAACTTATAAATTCAGCGGCGACTTACTTATTTCGTAGTTGCGGGTTGTGTTTAAGTACTTTGCGAATTGCAGTTTTCAATTCAATTCTTCCGCGTTCACCTAAAGAAATTTTATTCTTTTTGTTCAAATTTGGCGGAAGAACGTTCTGATTCGAGCAGCCTGTAGACACCTTGAATTATTAATTACTGGTTTTGCTTATTTAGCTTATATAACCAAGAATTTGAAATTCATACTGAGAATAAAAAATTATTTGTTCGTGCCACATGCTGTTAATTAAATTTCTATTAATTAATTGATAATTAACAAAGGTTTTCCGGCATAATTTGCTCATTTCGTATTTTTTCGAGCTTAGAAATATCTTCTACACGAATATTTAGGAAAAAGGTGGTCGAGTTTGGTTGCTTGTTTTTTTTTACACAGCTGGCGCCGTAACATAAAAAAATATCTTGGTGTATATCAGATTTTTGTTTTCATTGAAACCTTAGCTAGTGAAATCGTATTTTTGTCTGGTTAATGCGTATTTTATTTTGCGACGTTGGTAAGAAATCATTTTGTAGCGTATCCTTTGATTAACTAAATTAATTTTAATATAAACGTGCAATAAGTATTAATTTTTAATTAATTATATGATCAGGGGTAATAATACTGGTAATGAAATTGACAGACAATGTTAAATCGCCATTTGTGCGACAGAAAGTTGTAGTAACTCCGTTTCATGAACGATTAGACGTAGGTAATAGGTTTTTACAAAGTTTATAGAATTATATCAAATTGTTCGAACCGTCAAAAGAACAAATTGACCAAATGATTCACTCATTGAAAGAAGATATAGCTATAGGCAAAATGCACAACCTGAATCCAAACTTGCCTAAAGGTCACTCAAAATGTTTAGACACATGCGTATCTAAACTAGCAAAAGGAGATGAAACCGGTGTGTATTACGTAATAGACTTCGGAGGCACGAACGTTCGTTGTGCTAGATGCTTTCTAAAAGGCGATCGAAAACTCATTCTTGATAGCATATCGAAAGACGCGCGGAATGTTAAAATTCGTAACTTGCCAAAAGGTCTGATGGATCCTAAAGCAACTGCAACTGAACTTTTTAACTTTATAGCAGAAGTTACCAAGGAATGCATGGTGAAGCACAAAGACATGGTGGAAGGAAAAGAAATTGAAGACTACGACAGAATATTCAGTGTAGGTTTTACTTTTTCGTATGGTACTAGACAAACCGCATTAAACAGTGCTTATTGTACAAATTGGGCTAAAGGATGGGAGACGGGTATTCAAACTGATGATCCCGTAACTAGTGACAAAATAGATCTTGCAATTTTGTTGAACCAAGCGTTTAATAGACTTAAAATACCAGCAAAGACCGTTGCAATTCTAAACGATACAGTTGGAACGCTTGTCGCTGGTTCATACACTAAAGAACAATATTCCCCAGATGCTATGATTGGTTTAATAGCTGGAACAGGGTACAATATGTGTTATTTTGACCCCCACGCTCATCAGTACAATTACAAAGGAAACGTTATAAATTTGGAATGTGGAGGTTTTGACGGATTTTTACCAAACAATATCATTGATCATGAAGTTGACGACGCCACAGCACCGCACGGATTACAACATTTCGAAAAAATGGTAGCTGGTTTATACATTCCAGAACTCGCACGAAGACTTATTTTGAGAGTTTTCAGATCTAAAGCTCCTATGTTATGCTGGTGTCATGACTCCATTACAACTAAAGCTGTGTTTAAAATTATGGAAGATGAAACACCAGATCTAGCTGTCGTTAAAAATGCAGTTGCAACACTTTTCGAATGGGACACCAATACACTTTCTTTGACTGAACTTAACGCGATAAAACAAATCTGTAAAACCGTAATTGTGCGTAGTTCGACCATGATTGCCGCTGCCATCTCAGCCGTTGCTTCTTTGACTGGAAGATTATCGCCAGCGTCAGGAGGGCTTACAATTGCAGTTGACGGCAGTATCTACACAAAAAATAAAAGCTACAGAGATCTTCTAAGCGCTAAGCTCGTAGATATTTTAGGTCCGAATCTTGCTAGGCTGATTAAATTCCATATTTCATCTGATGGTAGTGGAATTGGAGCTGCAATTCTGGCTGCTACCGCAAATAAAATCGTATTAAGAAATTGTTGAGTGTGCTTGTCAAATGTTTAACAAATCAATTTTTAATTATATATTTCAGAAATCACGAAATAGTACGTTATTTACCATTTTCTGTTGTTGTTTTTTTATAAGCTTCACGACTGTAATACTTTGATAATAGTTCTGGTTTTATTTTCTTTAGCATATCCTCTGGGAAAGTTCGTAAAAGTTCCCAAGCGATGTCGAGCGATTCAAATATAGATCGGTTTTGGTATTTGTCTTGTGTGATAAAGTCAGTTTCGAATTTTTCCAGAAACTCTAGGTATAATAGGTCATCCGATGTCAGAGCCTCTTCTCCGATAACGGTTTTCATAGACCGCACATCGTCGCCAATGGCGTAGTTTGAATACAATTGATCGCTAACAGAAGGGTGATCGTCTCGAGTGAGACCCGCTCCAATTCCGGCTTTCATAAGTCTGGACAAAGAAGGAAGTACATTTATCGGCGGGTAAATTTGTCTGTTATAAAGCGCACGATCTACGAAAATTTGACCTTCTGTAATATATCCTGTTAAATCAGGGATCGGATGAGTTATATCATCATTGGGCATTGTCAAGATGGGAAATTGAGTTATTGATCCGTTACAACCTTCGACTCGTCCAGCCCGTTCGTATATTGTTGAAAGATCTGTGTACATATATCCTGGATATCCTCTACGACCGGGCACTTCCTCTCTTGCAGCTGAAATTTCTCTAAGTGCGTCAGCATAACTGCTCATATCGGTTAAAATAACGAAGACGTGGAGTTCTCGATTGTAAGCCAAATATTCAGCCGTAGTTAAAGCAATACGAGGTGTAATAATACGTTCAACGGTGGAATCATTTGCTAAATTCAGAAAGAGCACGACGTTGTCTGACGTTCCGCCCTGTTCAAATTCTTTTCTAAATAGACGAGCAGTGTCCATACTAACGCCCATAGCGCCAAATACTACAGCGAAATTGTCTGGGTGATGATCCAACACATCTTTTCCTTCTACTAAAGTTGCTTGACGGCATATTTGAGACCCTATGTCGTTGTGAGGAAGTCCGGAACTACTGAATAATGGAATCTTTTGGCCTCTTATAACGCTGTTCATTGTATCGATGGTGGATATTCCAGTCTGAATCATTTCCTTTGGAAAGATTCTGCAACTCGGGTTGATAGAAGAACCGTTTATGTTCAAATAATCTTGACCTATTATTCTTGGTCCATTATCTATTGGCCGGCCACTTCCGTCGAAAGTTCTACCGAGCATATCTTCACTGACGTGCATACTCATTAATTCTCCGAAGAACTCGACTACGCAGTTTTTTGTGTCAATGCCACTTGTTCCGTCAAAAACTTGAATAATGCAATATTTACCCGATATTTCTAAAACTTTTCCCAATCTTTTAGTACCATCTTCTAACGTTACTGATACAATTTCGTCACTCACGGCGTGATCGACATTATTCATAATGACAAGAGGTCCTTGAACAGCTATTAATCAAATGTAACTCAAAACTTACAGCTTATCGAAGCGTTTTGTATTCTCGGAGCGACATAGTAGTCGCGAGTAGCAGCTTTAGCGTTTATGTGAGCTGTTTCGTTCATTGTAACTAAACTTTACTTGCAATTTTCTTTTTGTAATTAAGAACAAATTATTGTCTATGTCGGACTAATAGCTAATTACTAATCTAAAAACTAAAACTAGTTTCAGATGTTTGTTTTCAAAAGTTATTTATTGATTATACCGTGATCAAAATTATTATTTACATTATTCAATTAATAAAGAGTAATTATCAAAAATAATATACCATAGCATTCATAAAAATATCTATATCCGTGCAGTTAAAAAACGTGATATGAAAATCTAAATAAGTAAAAATCTCGACAGATCAAGATGAAAAATGTGTATATATTAGTGTACGTTTAATCAATTTGAATTTTTAGAGTTCGAACGGAGTAGCATAAGTGGAGACTCAGGAGGGGTTTTGGGGACAGGCGAGGGCGAATCTGTGAGTTGTTCGTCGAGGTTCTGGTATAAAGTGGATCCGGTCGTGAACATGACGTAAGATTTGGTGCCGTCAGGAAAGAACAACTTGACTTTTCCGTCAAGTTGGCCGTTGACGAAAGTACCTTCAGCTTGTTTTCCGTCGTTATAAACAAGAATACCTTTGTCGTTGGGTATGCCGTTGGCAAAAGTACCGTGGTAGATTTGACCGCTCGGATACCACTTGGTTCCTTTTCCGTTTATTTGAGTTTTATCCCAATTTCCGGAGTAAATTTTTCCATCTGCCCAGAAATAAGTACCTTCGCCGTGGATCTGGCCATCTTTAAAGTTTCCGATATAAAAATCTCCGTCTTTGGTTTCTAAACGGCCAAGACCGGATCGCACGTTATTTTCATAATTACCAATGAAAATGGTTCCACTAGGTCTGATCTCTTTCCCAATTCCGTTTTTACAATTGCGGATAAAGTAGCCAATAGTTTTGCTGCCGTCTTCAAATTCGTAGCACCCAAATCCGTGTGAGCTGTTTTTGTGGTACTCACCGATGTATTTTGTGTTTTTACTTGTCGTCACAATCCCGATACCGTGCGGAATGTTGTTAAAGAAAGTTCCTCTATATATTCCTCCGTCTGGGAATGTCATTTCTCCGATTCCATGCATGCAATTGTCTTTGGTTTCTCCGCGATAGGTGAAACCATTATTTAAATTGATTGGTGTACAATCTTCAGGAACAACGAGCTCTGAAGGGTTGAATGGGTAGTCGGGAAAATTATCTTGAAGGTCATCGGGGATGTTGGGAAGTCTGACGTAGTCGTCGACTTTGGTTCTGAAAATGGGCAGTCTTGGATCATTCATATAGTGTGAGTTCTCGTATTCACCGGCGTGATTCGATATGATGGAGGAGGAAGATCCAGAATTTATGGAGAGGAATTCTTCGTTCACATTTATGGACATAGATTTTTTTTTTGAAAGTTCGTTTGTTTCAACAAATGACTTTTCTTGTTCAGGAATTTCTTTCGATAACTTAGTCATCGTTTGACTCAATAGAGGACTAGCTTCAATAGTGGCTTTTTCGTCTAACACAGGTCGTGGGCCGATGTTATATGAGCATTGTTTCTTGAACGTGTTACTTTCTTGACTTTCTTTTAGTCTCTCAATTGACGTCTTTTCGAAATGTTACAGTTAAGCACTTACGGAGTAATTAAATTTTTTCTTTGAACAACAAGAACCCGGCATGTAAAGAAACTATTTGTGTATTTAATACTTAGTAGATCTTAGAAAACACTGGAGCTGATTTAAAGGAGCAACATGCAAACCTATTTTTGAATACACCACTGATTCAAGACTACCTTTTGCGACCAAGATGACTTGTAAACTCAGTTTCCTGCTGCTGCTTTCTTTTTGTTTATGAATTCCCGTAACATTTCGGCTTTGAAAGGACAGGAATCTGGAATATCGATTTTATAGCTGCGTTTCGGATTCTTCTTTAGTTTTTTGGCTTCCTTTCTAACTTTTTTCTTGTGTTCTTTAACCTTCTTCTCAATTTTGTATTTGGTAGCTAGTTTTTGTCTCTTGGATGTGCCTGAAAGAGTTGTGACTAAAACTATTACTTACTCTTTAAAGTGACCATGAGCGTATAAATTAGAAATTAGAAAATTTGTCTATTAGTATAAACTCGATAAACGAAATTTTGAATCGGCTTGCTTTTTTTAAATTTTCAAAATTAAAAAAAAATATTTCAGAATTACGTAGGTACTTTGCTAACTGAGTTTCGTAACTTCAGAAAACAATCTATAATTAAACTGTATAAACGAATCAGTGAGGGCCTGGTATGAAAAACGTAACGATATGTTATTCTTCATCGTATAATAACACTATTTTATTAGTGGATAAACTTGTACACGGAATTAGCAAAAAATATAAAATAAAAAATCTTGTAGATCTGAGCAAATTGAAATTTCTGGAAGCCAATGACCGCTTGAACTTAGAAGTCGAAAAGCTTGAACTTGATTTAGTCTTATGCCCGTTCTCAAACATCAATTATTGGTTGTATGATTTGTCAGAGCGGTCAGAAGATAGTTTAGTCTATTTTCTGTTACCCACAGATCATGAAGGGAAGATTAATGAAACTTCTCAGCTAGCATATGAAGAGCTTTGTAGCCAGGTGAATGATTTTCGAATTTCCGTACACAAAAAAAAAAACATAAAATACGCAGTAGTAGGTATAGGTGATAAATCTTACGACGCCGAGTATTTTTGTCGACCGGCTTTATCGGTCAACAGAATGTTGAAAACGTTAAAGTGTGAACCGTTACGACGGTCTATGCTGTTTGACAAGGCCGTTGTAACTGACGAGCATATATTTGATGAAGTGTCTAAAGAGTTGTTTCCCTTACTAGAAGCCATAGAAACAGCCAAAATTGAAGGGGAAATGCAACAACTGGATACTACTTCAAGTGAGTCTGAAACTGAAACTTATTTAGATGCGAGTAAGAACTGCGACCTCGAAGAATTGATTCAAGACAGAACGCAAAGCAACACAAAAGAAATGTTATCTGATTTGCAGCGGAAAACGCTCACAAAACAAGGATATCGCTTAATCGGTTCCCATAGCGCTGTTAAGCTATGTCGCTGGACTAAGCACCAGATGCGTGCTCGAGGTGGCTGCTACAAGCACACTTTTTATGGTATTCAATCTCACAGATGTATGGAATTCACCTGTTGTTTGGCTTGTGCTAACAAATGTGTGTTTTGCTGGCGCCACCAGACAAATCCAGTAGCTAAGGAATGGAATTTTAAGATAGATGATCCAGCGTGGATTGTCACTGAAGCAATCAAAGCCCAGCGTTCCCTGGTCAACATTTTTAAAGGCAGTCCTGGTGTAGCCGAAACCAACCGTTTGGCAGATGCTATGAATGTAGCGCATTGTGCGTTAAGTTTGGTTGGGGAGCCCATTCTGTATCCAAGAATCAACGAACTGTTGGAAATTTTACATCAACACACTATTTCGACTTTTCTCGTAAACAATGGGCAGTTTCCGGAGCAACTGACTACTATCACACCTGTCACTCAGTTGTACCTATCTATTGATGCTTGTGATCCGTACACTCTGAAAGAGCTCGGACGGCCCATGTTTTCAGATTATTGGGAGCGTCTGTTGACAAGTATTCAAAATATCAATAAATCTAAGTCAAGATCTGTGTTTCGTCTGACGATAATAAAAGATAAAAACGAAAATGATGCGCAAGGATATGCACAGTTCATGCAAATTGGACAGCCGAGTTTTGTGGAGCTAAAAGGGGTCACTTTCACCGGAGTTGGGTGTGGCATTTCAATGAAAAATGTGCCCACTCATGAAGAAGTGATTGAGTTCTCCAAAGACTTGTTGATCGAATACAACTGCCTTCGTCAAAACAATCTAGATTTAGACGAATACGACATAGTTGCTGAAAGTATGCATTCTTGTTGCGTCTTGATTGCAAATAAGAAGTTTTGCGTCAACGGAGTTTGGCACACCTGGATTGACTACCCAAAGTTTTTTGAACTTAAAAGGTCGAAAGCCGAGTTCACGGAAACTGCTTACTCATTGCCAACGCCTTCTTGGGCGCTTTACAACAGTAAAGAGCGTGGGTTTGACCCGAACGACACAAGAGTTTACACAAAAAAACGTTTAGATGTTATGCGAAAACAAGCTTGCAATGCAGACTGCACTTGCACTTGAATGTAGTTCAAACCTTAGCTAGCGAGTCTAACTTGGTATATTATTTATAACTAATTAATTTTTATTATTTGATACTTATCGTATGTTGATTTTATTCGAGAAGTTTATGTCAAAAAATTATCCAAACGAGCTAAACATCGTTTTGAAATTGTGGTGTTTTGTTTCAAAAACTCAACACACAAATGGTTTTGTTTCAGACCTAAGCCAACCCAAAAAATTCCCAATAGAAAGTTGTAAATCACATTTATTCGAATATGAAAGTGAATAGTCGGGTAAATGAACGCAAAGCTTTGCTAATTTCTCATATACTTCTTTATGATAAGAATTTAACCAATCAAGTTGTTCCTTAGTTAAAAGACTCGGGTCTATGAGTTTTCGACAGTAAGGAACCATTGTGAGTTGCTTAAAACAGAGATAATGTACTTGATCTTCGTTCTCAATTTGATTTTTTTGCAATATAGAGTACTGTACGTTTTCCAATCTTATACCGTATTTTTCGGGAAAATATAGACCAGGTTCGTTACTAACAACCATGTGATTTACAAAATATGTTGGTTTTGCTTTGTATTGACTAAGATAACAAATCCCAGGCGGGCTTTCATGCACGACGGTACCTGAGCCAACTCCGTGTCCAGTGCTGTGGTTGAAGTCCAATCCTCGTTTCCACAATTCGGCTCGGCAAACAGTATCGAGCTGCGAACCGCTCAATTTGTTGTTTGGAAAAACAATATTTGCTAGATTGATATGGGCGGCAAGAGTATAAGTGTAGTGTCGTATTACTTCATCTGGAGGTGTACCCAAATAAATGGTTCTAGTGCAATCTGTTGTTACAACGCCGCTATAGTGAGCGCCAGAATCGACTAAAAGCACCCCGTCATTGGCAAATTTTTTTGTAGTTTTTTCATTTATACGATAATGGACTATTGCTGAATTTTCATTAAAACCTGAAATAGTTTCAAAAGATAAACCATCAGCGCCTAATTTGTTCAATCTTTGATCAGCCAATAATTTACAAACATCTTCTTCATCTAACAGTTCAAATGAAAAGTTAGTATCTGATTCTATTTGATTTGCTGAAACGCTTTCATACCATTTGGTGACGTAACACAATGTAGTTGAGATCGCTAAAGAATCTCTGGCGTGGTACAATAAACTAAGCTCGATTTCTTTGTCTGTCTTAACCGATTTTATGTTTTGTACGATGTCTTCAGAGAAATTGATTTTAATGTTGCATTTTGACATAAAATCGATTAAACCTTGATTTGCACTATTAAGCAGAAAAATTTCCATGTCTTGATCTTTCAAACCTTCCAAAAAAGAGTAAAAATTTTTATATTCATGCAAAACAATGTTGATTCCATGCATAGCGTCAATACAGTTCGAATCAAACTTACGTTGGCTTGAGTTAAGCATGAACCAATGAACAGTAGTTTTGTCTAATAACAAATAAGAATAGATCACGCGGTTGTACATAATGTCATCAGCTCTTGCATTAAGTATCCAAGCGATTGAGTCTAGTTTATATATCAAGACTATTTGGTTGTCTGAAAGTGCTAATTCGTCGCGAACTTTTGAGAGTTTTTCTTTTCTTGTCATTCCACAAAGTGACTCGTCCAAAAAACTAATCTTAGAAGGTGAAAACAAAGGTCTTTCCACCCAGATCTCGTCTATTAAATTTCTTGGACATAGATTTGTTTCTGTGATTTTTTTTAGTACAACGTCATTGGACAAATTCTCTCGTAAGTATTTTACAAAATCAGTTGAATGAAGATATGGGTCGAACCCGACGCTGGTGTACTTGTTTTTTTGAAGTGCGCTTAGAATATTTTTTCTAGTGAAATTATACAGTTCCCAGTCGCTCGGCAACTCTTGTTTAGCTTGAATTGTGTAGCGGCCATCGGTAAAAAAGGAAACTTTGTCGGTACCTATGATAATGAAAGCTGAACTGCCTGAGAAGCCACTGATGAATTTTACTCTTTGATCAGATTCAAGAACATATTCGCTGTCGTGTGGATCTGTTAAAGGTACTAAGTAACAATCAATTTTCAACGTTTTGTATAGGTTTCGTAGCTTACCGAGCGTACAATCATCCTTCTCATTCATTTGGATTAGACTCATGATTTAATTTATATCCATTATCAATAATTTCTAAATAGATTTATTAAGAATATATTGCAGCGTTAAACTTTTTCAGCTGCAGCGATAAAACAAAAGAATTAATAAACTTGTGAAAACATCTAGTCATCGTTATTTTTTGGATAATAGGTGACGTTGTGAAAAGTACCAGAAAATGAGTCGTATCTGCTCGTAGCCATGACAGGATTCCAGTCTGGAGGGTGTGAGTAATTGCATTTAGGCTGGGTGCAGTTTATGTTAAATTTACAAGGTATTTCTGGGTGAATGTAAAAACAGGACATTCCATATGGGCACTTAGGCCAGTATGTGCACATTTCTTCTGGATGAATAAACCTGCATTTAGATCCAAGCTGGCAATTAGGAAAACTGGAGCATTTTTTTTTAATTTTTTCTTGTACCGGCACGGGTTTGGACGGTACCACATGTGCATTCATATAATTATTTGCATCGTAATTATTAGTTCTATATTGGTTATTTAAATAATTGCGTTTGGGTTTTGGCTTGTTGTTTTGGCGCACATGCTTTCTATTATCGGTTGCAGGAAAGTTAGGTTCCTGGTTTGATTGATGTTCAGATTCGAGAACCTGATCAACGTAAGTTGTAACATCCGTTGACTTTTGACAAAAGATTTTCTGTAGAGCTTCGTATTCTTCTTTTTCATAAGTCTTTTCTCCAATTACGTAGGGCCTTAAGTCATTCATCAACCAAACAATAAAAGCACAGGTATTTTCCTGCAATATTTTATATAGTTTGTCTGTTACTTGGTCAAGACTTTCACCAGGCTTGGATATTATGATCCAAATGTCAACCGATTTATTTACAAAGTCTGCTTGGAAGATATTATTTTCTCTTAAATAGTTAGCTATCTTAAGAACAGCATATTTTGCCTTATCTTCTTGTTTTACTTCCATTCGTGAATCAGTTAGAATTTTAACAATAGAATGAATAAAAACTTAGTTCAAAGTTTTAATATAAATAATAATCCTAGATATTTTGCTAAAACTCATAGTGAAAAGATTTTTTTTTGATTAAGGCAAAAAAAAAATTTAGTTGTCGAATTTGTTTCTATGAAGAATTGGTATTATTACGATTCAATAGACACATTTTTAAGCCAAAAAAATGAAGAACTTAGTCTTTTCTATGACAAATTATCGGATTTTAAAGCAGATTCCGTGGTTAAAAAAGATATCTACGAAGGTGGACTGACGTCGTGGGAAAGTGAAAAAAAATTAATAAAGCATTTGTTTGATCACTACACTGAATTGCTTGACAAGTCTGAACCTTTGACAATTTTTGACTTGGGCTGTGGATGTTCAAGTGTATCTTTTTCTATTGCTGCATATCGAGAAAAGAAAAATTTATCAACAATCTTACTTTTGCAAGATTTAAATAAAGAGGTTTTCTTAGATTTGTGTAAAAAAAAAAATGTTTCAGATTTAGTAACGGTACGTTTTATCTGTGCAAGCTGGAAATCAATTGAAAAAGCAAATTTTAACAAATCCCATCTTAGTTTTAAAGTTAACCTTGTGCTGAGTTCCGAAACTCTGTATAGAATTGAATCGTTCGCCGATTTTACGGAAAGTGTTATTAAAATAGTTAATAAATTTAATAAAGATAATGGTAACACACAAATTCTCCTTGCACAAAAAAGATATTATTTTGGTTTAGGTGGAGGGTCGATTCCATATATCAAATTTATAGAAGAGAATTATACAAATATAAAGATAACTATTAATGAAGAAATAGTTGACAACATGAGTACTATTATCGATATTTTGAAGATGGAAATCAATATGAACAAAGTTTATTAACTATATTTTATTTTAACAGCAATAAATTGTCGAGTGAGTAAATAATTAACACACGTTCGATATGTTTTTTAACAATTTAATAAGGAATAACAAAAAATATTATTATTCAAAAAACTAAATTTAGATAACGCTTACAAATATAATTAATTACCGAACAGAAAATCAATCCACAATGTCTAAAGTTAGTGAAACAATTAATTTGTTCAAGGATAAAATCGAAAAAGTAAAAGGATTGGTTTTTCCGCTGCGTATAAAAGCAAATTCGAAATATTTGTCAAACTTGCAATTGAAGAAGCATAAAAAAGAAGAATAGCTAAAGTTGGTTATTAACGGTTTTATCAACGATCTTGATCATACGATTTGCTGATAATATGCTAGGTTCACTAAATAAGAAACTTTCGAATTTTAGGTTTGCTTGAAGCTGCATAATTTGATCCAATGTAGCTTTTGTGAGCCATTGATTCAAAGCCTTAGAAAGTCGTTCCACTTTTTTAGAATCTTTAGGTTTGGAAGTCAAATTGGTGAAAACTGATTTGATTTGTGCAATAGCATTCTTCATGTTGGTAGCATCTTTCATTTTCTTTTCCAAGCGTTGACGGTTTAATAATTTCGGATCAACTTTTTTAGATGCCGCTGAATCCTTTTGCTTGAGTCTAGGGTCAGCTTTTTCACAAGCAACTATAAATTTAGCGAGACGTTCGTTGTTATACTTTTGGAGCTTACTAATGCGACGTTGGTTTTCTTTGACCATGCTTCGTCGCTCATCTTTGTCACATCCAGTAGATTTGTCGTACAAAGTAGCTAAACTAAAGTCTCTCCAAGATGTGGCGTTTCGCCAAAAGTTGTATAATTTTTGCACTTCTTCAAGAGGAAGATTTTTGTCGCCAAAATTTGGAATGGGCGATTCATTAATGAAAAAACTTTCTTTCTCAAGATTTTTTTTTGCGATTTCAAAAAAGTTCGCTTCATCGATTTCCAAGGGTAGATAGTTGTCGAAAAACAGAGTGCTGTCGTATTTTATACGTTCGACTTCGTTAGAAAGAACTTCAAAAGCTTTAGAAATGCGAATGTAGTAGTTTTTCATTTTAGTGGGGCTAAATACCGAAATGTCAGGCAAGTATTTCTTGAGTTCTGGGTCGATGGAACAGTAATCAATGTTGCTAGCTTTATCTGGGTGAAACAAGAGGCTTAACTTAAGGAAATTAGATCTTAGTTGTTTTTGTGATGCATTCTTCGGAACGCAGCACAACTTGTACAAGTCTTCTTCTGCTTCAAGTAAGCCGTATAACACGTTGTTAATTCCACTGTAAATGTCTCCTTTTTTGTTCTTTGGAGTTTCAGAGTTTGAATCAGAAGTTTCGGTATTTTTTGACTTCGAGATGTCCTCGATTTCCTTTTCAATTCTTTCAGTTTCGTTCATTTTATTGTAAATAGGCTTTTCATATTTTTCATGAAAACTGTGCCCAGCCTGCTCTTTATTCAATCGGATAATGGATATAGTCTTAGTAACTACTTCACCATCAGCAGCGTAATCGTCTCGAAGCTTCGTCATTTTGACAAATTGGTTTTCCAAAATTTTTTCTAAACAAACAAATTTATTCTAAAAATATTTTTATTTGGAGATTATTTCCAAAATAAAATTTTTCAGAGTTGTTATTAAGTTTCGTATTTTTAAGCTCTGTTCGCATGTATTGAAAACCAAATTGCAAATGTGCGATCTAAGCAAGTCAATGTTGTACTCAACCAGTTGTTCCATTGGTGTGTTATTTTCTCCTTCGTGGGAATAAGCGAGTTTTTTCTTTATTTCGTTGATAATGTCGAATATTTGTTCCATAAGTAAATAGTCAAAATCTGTGTAGATAGATTTTAAATCGCAAATAGACTCGATCGAATAGTTTATATTGTATTTTTGCGCAATTCTTTGCAGCAAAATGGTTAGTTCAACGTTAATAAATTCAAACGTGGACACGTTAGGCGAGTTTTCTTTCAAAATAAACTGGGCGATATTATTGAATAAAAATTCAAAGTGAGTTTGAAGCAACTCTAAATTTTGAATAACAACAAGTTCTGCATTGCTGAAGTTGACATTTAAAAATTTTTTTCCCAGTTCAATATATAGTTGATCGAGCGTGTCCGGGTCGACGGTAGTTATATTAGTCATTTCGACAAAAATTATATTAAAATATTAATGTAACTAGCCATTATTCCAAAATTAAATCATTGCTGAAATTATTGGTTTGAGTATGCAAACTGTCGAATTTTTTGATGCGTTCTTTAAATTTTGGCAACTCCTCGTGATCAACGACAGGGTCATAAAAAGTAATAGCTGTTCCGCTTCTGCCGGCGCGCCCGGTGCGCCCGATACGGTGCAAGTATATTTCGAATGTGGGCGGTAGTTCATAATTAATAACGATGTCAATATCTACAATGTCAATACCTCTGCCCATGACGTCAGTTGTGATTAATATGGAATTTTGCGAATTTTTAAACGAGCTTAGAATAGACTCTCGCACTTCCTGTGGTTTGCCCCCGTGGATGCAAAGCACAAAACCGAAGTTATTTGACAAACTGGCTGAAAGCTTGGAAGCGATATGCTTTTTATTGACAAAAAGTAAAGTTTTTTTAATTTCATTTTTTAATATGTCTTGCAACGCATAGTATTTCTCGTTAGTACTGACCTGAATAAACTTTTCTTGAATTTTGGTTTTGCCGGTGTTGTCAGCTGTGATCTGAAAAATAATCGGTTTTTTAAAATAGGACGTAGCCAAATTAAGTAGTTTATCGGCGAAGGTCGCACTAATCATAATGATCTGCGAGTCTTCATTGACAGAAGCAAAGATTTTGTCTATGTCATCGAAGAAGTTCAAATTAAGCATCTCGTCAGCTTCATCAATTACTATGGTATCACAAGCTGAAAACGTAATGTATGATCGAGACAAAAAATCTAGAAGTCGTCCTGGTGTGGCCGATATTAGATCCACTCCTTGCAGCATATTGCAAAACTGTTCGCTGATGTTTTTTCCTCCTATGATGGCCAACGCAACTAGAGTTTTATTGGGAGACAATTTTTCAAAGTGTTCGACGATTTGCTGCGAAAGCTCCCTGATAGGGGACAAAACCAAAACTGAAGGGTTTCGTTCTTTGTCTTGCACTCTGTTCGCCTCCACTAGCTTAACTATAATTGGAATGAGATAAGCAGCAGTTTTTCCACTTCCTGTTTGTGCCAGCCCAATGATATTATGACCCTGAGTAATGACATTTATAAGAACTCGCTGGATCAACGTGGGTTCTGTCCAGCCAAGTCTTTTAATGTTACCAGCGACAATGGAATAATGACTATAGTCATCCCATGACCTCAAAACAGGGAAAATTTGATTTTCATTATTTTTTATTTCAATTGAATAGTAGTCATAAATTTTTTTCCAATCTTTCGAATCCATTTTATCTAGTGGCTTTGTAAACATTGAGTTATTGAGCAGAATCGATTCTGTTTTCTGGGTCTCATAAAGATCGGTCCCGTAAATGTCGTTTTCTTCGACATTTTGTGTTTGTTCTACTTTTTTTTGAGGCAGAAGTGAATCTAACTTAGATTGGGGAGTAGTTGTTTTTTCGTTAGATTTCAACCCTTGCAGGTAAGCTTCAACTTGTTTCTTTTTTATATTTACTTTAGATGGTTCATCGTTCTTTTCGTTTTTTCTTTTTTTAACGAGCTTCAGAAGGACCATCAAATGTATAATAAAACATAAAATTATTTATATTAAAAAAATATTATTTTAGATATACGATTTTGATAGATACAATCTCTACTACTTAAAAAAATCGTTATCATGAGTATAAACATTTGTACTTTAACTAAATTTAGCTTAATAGTTTTTCCTGACGAGTTTTTAGAACACAATGAGTTTCAGGGACTAGCAAGATTTCACATTTCAAAAAAGTTTCAACTTTACAACGCTTTCTTGAACGAGTTTCTCGTTTCTTTGGTAAAGATTTTTGAAATGCAATTTAAAAAACTAATTAATATTCAACTAGTAACTTATGGTAAATTACCCACAGACTGTTTGGCCACTCTGAATCAAAACCCACATGTTCAGCTTCAGATAGTCGAAAAAACCGACTCTGATCTAATAGCGCAGATTCATCAAACACTTTTTCTGAAAGAGTTTCCAATCATATATTATACATTTTCCAATGCTGGCCCCTGGTTAGGAAAAGTAAAAAGAGAGCCAAACCAGTTTGAAATTCAGTCAGTCAAAATTCAAGATTTTATTAATGAGTACGAACCATTTTTATTTTTCGACCTTACAAATACTGAGAACCTTTATTATATTGACGTGGAAAAAAAGTCCAGGGTGTTAAAAATAAACCTCAATGCAAGCAAAATACTAACTATGATCAATGCGTTACGAACTGATAAGGTTTATTCAGCAGTTCAGTTCTATCAGATTTCTGAACAGGGTGACAACTCTTTAGTTGATTATACGATCGAGAACTTGCTTGGCGACACAACCGAGTTTGTTGGTTTGGCTCCCGACACGCTTGCTTCAAGCTTATCAAAAATCGACATAGAAAACCACAACAGTGCAATTTATAAAAAAAACTCTGATTACTTACTTGCGTTGATGAAATCCATCAGAACACTTTTTACATACTCAATTTGCCAGATAATCTCAGAGTACGTCAAAGTTCTTCAATGCAATCGGATAGTAATCGTAGCGAATTCTGACATTCCAAAAGATTTTACAGCAGCAGTATCAGCTACTTTGAAAATACTGAATAACGAAATTCAAGATATCTACTCAGACGATACTTTTTTTTTTTATTTTTAGTTTTTATAAATTTTTTCGACTAATTTCGAAAAAATTTTACTTTATTAATCAAAATGGCCGAGCAATCTGAAAAAAATTGTCTCACCAAATATACTAATCTTAGTTATGAAAGCTGCGGAAGTTTCGAAAGCATTCATGAAGGTATTGATGTGAGTTGCAAACTCAGCGAAGTTTTTTTGCGGCATGCGTTCTACGTTATGCGTGATTTATCGCATATAGGTTTAACCTTGGTTGAAACTACTTACAATAAATCAAAGAGTACCACTCAAAAATGAACAATCGGTCTATTGAACTTACATGAAATGTTAATCGTAAAAATTTTTTGGCAGTTGAAACAAAAACAGATTTTTAAAATATTTTCCTCCAACAAGCAGATAGTAATCGTTCACAAAAGCCAGTCCGTTTAACTCGGTATTAAAAAACATCATGGCATCATTATTTTTTTTTGCCACGTGTAAGCAATTTGAAATCTCTTCATTCAATAGGTCAGACCCTTGTAAACTGAGAATGTAAGCATTTTCAGACTTTTCTTTGTGATGCATCACAATAATGTAAGGGGTATGATAAATTGTAACAGCAAAATAGCCTTTTGAATTGATGTTCGAAATTGAATTAAATCGTTTACCATATGGGAAATGCTGTTTTTCAAAGCGTTTCATAGCATTTTCATTCTTTGTATCTATATTATTTTTCGTAGCTATTAAATTTACAATGAATGAAAACTCTTTTGTAGTAAGCCAATTGGCATATCTTGTGAAAACAACCAATTCTTTGTTTCGGTTTATAGTATTTTTCGTAGCTGAATCTAAATCTAATTTCTTAGAAGAATATTTGAGAATCATTTGCTTGTTCAAGTCTGAATCATTTTCAGTCATATTATTAAGTTTTTCCTTATTTTCGAAAATTAGTTCGAAGTCTTTATTTGCTACTAGGCGAATTAATCTAGAAAAAATTTCTTGAGCATCGACCGTAAACATGTCTGTATTACCACAATTTAAGAATATTCTTTTTGCTATGCCAAACTTATCCGTAGGTTGAAAAAATAAATCTGAGCTCAACCCCCAGACGTTAGACTCGCACAAAGTTTCAGACAAATCAATTGGAATGTCGTACTGACCCTTCAAAAAAGTTTTCCTCTTAGCTGAATACATGAAAACCCTTAAAACTGAATTATCAAAGAAACCAGCTATCAGAAACATAATTTTAGCGTCTGATATTTCAACATGAGCAAGCAGTGTAAATCCTTCTAACATATAATCTTGATTGATATACGCTGTCGTCGATAGCTCTCCATCCAGATTAAAGTGTGAGTAAGCTACAAGAACCGACTTTGTAAAGGCTGAAGAAATAAATATTATTTTCTCATGATTTTTCAGCCAAGCATGTACACATGAGTCCAAGTTACTTCTTTTTTCTTGAGGTTGTAACAAATCAGAAGCAAAACATTGATCTAAGTCCGTAATAATGATAGGATTTTTTTCAAATGAAAAATACCTAATACCTTCGACAAAAAATCGCTGATCAATGGGTATTTTCGCAATTTGTAAGTCAAAAATATTAGAGTAGTTTGTATTCTTTTCGTTTCGAGTCCCACCAGTTAATATAATCAATATAACTCTATATATCGATTTCATGAAAGAAAAAGTTTTGTTTTCGCTTAAACTCCAATTATCGAATGATTGGTAATAGCGAGCTGGCAAACTTAGAAATGTAATTTTTGTGTGTACTACATCACAATATTGAATCTAAAATAGCGGTTTCGTCAGAATATTTTATTTGCAAGTAGTTAGCTTTAGAAAGTTCGAACAAACGGAGCTCTTTTGACCACAACGGGTTATTTTGTCTTTTAAAGCTTTCATTTCTTTCACCCCACTCAAGAAATTTGATTTGTTTGTAAAGATTTGGAGAAATTGCATAAATAGTATTGAAAATAATCAAAGCGTTTATTACATTATAACAAGGATGAACAGATTTTTGGACAATTGTTGTGAAAATTTTTTCGATTAGCTTCTCAATCTTCGAAAAATTTTCTTCTGTAGTATCAAGCTGAACGTTAAAAATTGAATTAAACAAATTAACAATATTGCTTATCTGTTCTTTGGAATCGAGCATATATTTACCTTTATTTCACAAAATTTTTGGAAAACCCGCTTATTATGATTTATTTAGATATAAATAAATTCTGAAAAAATTTAGGACAATGTTTAATCAAAAATATGTGAGCGAGATCATCAGTTTCAATATCAATTTTAAGTATAACTTATTGTATCTCTCATCGGTCTGAGTGAGATCGTAATTATAAAATAACAAACATTAATGGTGGGTCATCAGCAGATTGCGTATAAACACAATAATGAAATACGCAGAGGAATATTGTTAAACCAGGGGAAAAAAATACAAGTGTATGACATTGATGAAAGGCACATAGTAGAAATTGATGATGAAAATATTTTGTCAAGGGGCTTGACAAACGAATCTATTAATGATAATGAAAGTAGTTGTGCTGGCAAGTTATTCTTATATAAATCTGACAGCGAAACAAACTTGGCATATGAATTTGAAGAAGCTTTTTTGAGCGGCATAAATTTATTCCAGTTGGGTCCTAGGTACAATGTTAAACTATTAGACATCAAGTCCGTTCAAGACTTGACCTGTGCGAATTTATATTTAGACACAGAAGAATTTAGAAATGATGCAAGCTACAAAAATAAAATTTACGCAGGATCGCTCAGGCAGATCGCAGACGATATGGAAAAAGAATTTTTTAATTCTGAAGCTTCACAAGTCTTGCTTTTGGAAGGTGACTATCATACCATTACTGGGGCTGTAAAAGTGTTATTGTGGTTTATACAAAAAAGCCTTAACAATTCTAAATTGACGTCTATACACGACGAAAAAATTTACATCCAACTTGACGCTATAAACACAATACTCAACTTAGTCTCCGGTAACGCGAATTGCGGTTATAATAGAATTCTTTTTTCGTTTAACATAGAAGTGCGATCTATCAAAGAAAACTTTTCTACTTATTTGTCTAAGTTTACAGTAAAAAAAAACTCACAACAGCATATTTTATCGTGGTCTCAAATCCTTCCGACTTTTTTAGTTTCATCAATTAAACTAGTAAAGCATGCTTTGTTTTCGTCCTTTTGGTTTCATAATATAGCTGATAATTTGATAAAAAACAACCAGAAGTTGTCAAACACAGCATATGTTACGCCTGTCATTGAACACGAGCCATTTTTTACATGTTGCTTAATATGGCTAATTTCAAAAGACCAAACCGACGTTAATAATGTAGTTAATCCACAACAAATCCGAAAACTGTTTTGTATTACAATTGATTTGATTAGCACGCTACAGTATGACATAAAACTGATGTACAATAACGACAAAAAAATTTATGCAAATGAAGTCGTTAAGAAATTTTGTCAAAGCATGAACAAACTCAACATAGATAGTAACATAATAACTCGAATATTGACCATTAATATTTCTTTAGCTTTATGGAACCTCGGTGCGCATCATTTATCGTACTATAGAAATTCTGATTTTTATCAGAAAGACTGTGCTGCTGAGTTTTTAAATACCTTTGAAAAAAGTTTCACAAAAGCTGTTTCATACGTTAGACCGTCTTTTGGATGGGCAATCCGTTACTTAGTTGGTTCTCTAATGCTTTCGGACAAATACTGTATGAAAACTGAGCATGAATCTTTAAATAGTTATCTTTGCCACGAAGTTCTTTGTTCAAAACTTTCAAAAATGATGATTACTGACTGGACATTAAGTATGACCAATCACTTAAATCATGTCATAGAATCGCCAGAATTAATGTTCGATCGGTTTGACTATATGTGTAACAAAATAATAGATTATACATTTGCTTTAATCAATCAGTACTTTTCCAATTTGAACATTTTTAAACTCATGGATAACTTTAATTTTTATTTACGGCCAATCATACGCAATGCACAATTTGAGTTACACGTTTTACCAGCTTTAGGAGTAAATTCGACCTATACGTTGTACAGCCAAATAGATTCTACAAATGGAAAAGCAGATACTTATACTGATTATTCATTTTCAAAGAGTAATCGTAAAGCGTTTATAACCGTACATACCTTACTAATGGAACAAGTTGCCACTTACAAATCGATAATAATGAACAAAGATTTTCAAAAAATGTATGTCGACACTAGCTTTGAAAACAATACTTTTTCGGTGAAGAATCCAACGTATAAAGAATATATCCATTTTGACAACAGCCAAAAGTTTCAAATTTTATTGCTTATTTTTCTGCAGCAGATTCTTAATTTTTTTTTAAGAATCAACTTTAAAGATAAAGCTATTACTGACGTATTTAATGACTTGATTATTAACTCCGGTAAACAACTAACTTGTAATAAACTTATTGAGTTTTCTTATAATTTGTTTGTCAAGTTATCGACAAACGATATAGATTTCATTCCGTACTCATTTATATATGTGATTGCTAATCAATTTGTCGAGTACTTTAAAGAAGTTTTTGGTAATACTAAACAAGACCTTCTTAATATGACTTGCATTGAGGATTACAAAACTTTTGACATGACTTTGGTTTTTATTTTATCGAAAATTTTAAAACCAATAAGTGATGCTTATTACCCTTTCAATTTTTTAATTACTTTCAACGATTTAGCAAACAATCCGAGTTTGATCGACATAAACCTAATTCTGCGAGAATTAATACTTTTATGTCCATATTCAAATCAAAAACTATATTCAAAGAATTCAATAAATCTTTTAAATAAAGCACATTATATCATCAGTTCTTCAAATCGAGAAACTCCGATAGAAGATATAGTTAGCGTAACACATGTTGCAAATACTTCAGTTTTTTCCACAAGCAAAATTCGAAATACTGCTTTTTACAATAGCATTAAGTCAATTTTTTATCAGATAGAAACTGATTTCAACAAATATGACGAAGTTTGTTTAAACGATACTGCACAGTCTTTCGTTGAATTACTGATGAACGATTTCATTTCGTATTCGTTTCTCTTATCATCATCTGAAATAATGCATAACATTAAAACACTCGTGCAAGATCAAAATAAATCTAATAACTTATTAACTCCTCCCCGCCTAATGAACGATAATACATATATTGAGAGAATATTTTATGGATTGAATAAATGGTATACATCCGTATCAAAGATTTTAAGCAATAAAGAATCTAGTGTTTGGAAGTATGACTATTATGTAATAAATAGGTCTTTGGCTGAATATGTTAAAATAAATAAGCTAAATGAAATCTTGCACTATCATGCAACAAGACATATTTATTCGGTCAGTTATTTTCAGCTAGCAATTTTATTGCGCGCCTTCTTTGAAAGAGATTTTCTGCAAGAAGACGCGTATCAGGAAATACATCAAATGCTTGAAGTAATTCATAATAATTATGAGAACTGTCATAAATACATGAATTATATAGAGTTTCTAAAAGAACAATGCTTAGTCATTATAATTTCTAAACTTGAAATGCCGCCCAATACTTACAAGTTCGGTAGGTACAAGGCTTATTTTACCGTGAAGGCGTGGACTCATATCAACTTTTGCGCTAAGATCACAATATCTACCAGGCATATTAAAGCAATCAAAATAATACAAAATTTTTTGTTGATGCGAGTGTTTAGACTGAGATATAAACAAATCAGAAATGTCATTATTCGAATTCAAGCACGGTGGAAGTCAAAGTTATTTCAAACTAAATTCAAACAAAACAAAGCCCTGTTTCTTCCGATTTTTTACGGCGTTATTCGGTTAATTCGCCTGATAAGCACTTGCAAATCTTCTGCAGAAGACCAACCAGACTACTTTTCAATCAGCAAAATTCATCCTGTTTCATATAGGTTATTATTATTTTCTGCCGCAACCACAATTCAGTCCTGGTTTAGAAGTATATTAGCAATCAAAAAAGTTGACAAGATGCGAGAAGAGATTATCAGAAAACAAGTCAATAATACTATTAAAACAATTTTGCGAACTATCATCTCGGTAAAAACAGTACATGTCAAAATATTTGTAGACAAAAAAGACACTATTATTCAGTCAATCGAAGTGGAAGCAGCGGTCAAAATTCAAGCATGGTGGCGAGCTCAAATAGATCCTAAAAAGAACAAAATTTTTACGATTATTCAAGGATTCCGGGCAGCACATTTTCCAATTAAACGATTAACTAAAGTTCTAGAATTACTCAAGGCGAAACAGAAATATTTCAAACTTAAGTTGAAATTAACTCTACAGTCGCAATACATTGAAAAGTTGTTAAAAACTTCTGAAATAACTTTTTCAATGGTAAATAATGTTGCAAAAATACAAGCGACCTGGAGAGGTTATTTCATCAGAAAGCAGTACAAAGCTATATATCGTGGCATAGTTCACGCTCAAACTTTAATTCATACACAGTTAGCTAGACGCAGATTCATTGTGCTCATACAAAGTGCGGTAAGAATACAAAAATGGTGGAAAAGCTATATTGAGCTCGTCAAAACTAATCAACATTCTGAAAACACGAAAAAAATTATTACGAGTCCAGCAGTTTTCTTGTTTCCAGAAGAATTTTATTTAGAATCAATTAATATACTTTTATATAAATTCTGGAATATCAGAACCAGTTCTTTAAAACGAAGAAACATTCGTAAACAACTAATAAACTCTAATAACATTAAAGTCAATTCTAATAATAAGGATTATAACTTACTGGACGGACTTTCAGCGTTACTCAAACCAAAGGAACCAAACCAATTTTTGACAAGAACTTGGATCCACGATTTCACTGTTTTTCAATACATCAAACATTGTGATAATCCAGATTATTGTTTAAAGAACTTTTTCTTAGATACTAAACCGCAAATGCTATCGTCTATCAAACTATTATTTTACGAGTACAATGTAGAATATCCTTTTTATATAGGGTTTGCTAAACCTTTATTGGAGTTTTTATTGTGCCATATTCTATCAGTAATAAAACATAAAGAACAAAATTTCTTGCTATCTGTGTACAACTATTTAGCGGAAAACTATAACTTAAAACCAATTAATAGCATCCCAGAACTTTTTTCTTCAAGTTACATCAATTCAAGAAATAAGTTGGACGCATCCTACAGTGAACCTATCCCGAAATCTAATTATAGGGCTTCGAATAGCTTTAACAAAGCGATTTCGGAACTATTGTCAGGGTTTATGATTATTAATCAAATGGAAAAAGAAAACGTACCATACGAAGATGCTTTGCAGATACAGTCCCAAATCAAAACATCTAAGCTACTAAATTCAAATTTATTCAATATCAAAGATTTGTTTATTGTCAATGACTTGAAATTAGCAAATTCATTCGCCTTGATTTTGATTATTGAAAATTTAAACAACTTTTTAGGGCTCAAGAACTCTTATTTAGTTGATTTTATCAATAAACTTTATATTCAAGATAAGTTGAACATGTACAATGGTCAAGTTTCATGTGTGTTCGGGTGGGGTATGAATAATTATTTCCAACTCACTACTAACTCAAATAATACGCATCATTATGATGAATTGTTATCATCACTCGGCGATCTGAGTCATTTCAATGTTTCTGAATTATCCAGATACCAGAAACATCTGCGAGAATACGAAGAACTCGAACAAAAAATGAATAACGAAATTTTATCTAATCTAGAATCGAAACCAAATAATAATTTGGATGATAACAGTAGTCATGAAACACATCTATTTGAACTTTCATCAAGGGTCATTCCAAAAAAGAAAGATTTATGTTTAATAAAATTTTTTGCGGTCCAGGTTGTTATACCAGAAGAAATGTCTTTAGAGAATTCAGATGCAAACGTTCAGTCACGAGTCGACAACGTGGAAAATGAAAATGAGTCTAAAACTAAAAGTGAAATAAATATAAATAATGCAATAAAAACTAACGTTAAAAGAGATAACTATTCAAGTAAAATACAAAAAACACTAGTAGATTATACATTTAGAATAATCTCAATAAATGTTGGTGAAGATTACGCCATGGCTATAACCAATGACGGAAAGCTGTTTTCGTGGGGATCAAATGAAAATGGCAGATGTGGGCAAGGTGCATTATTAAGCGTCATTATACAACCCAAACTAGTGCCGTATGTAAATAATCAGAAAAGACGAGTGTTGAAAGTATTTTGTGGTAAACGACACTGTTTGTGTTTGGTAGAAGATAATCGAGTTTTCATCTGGGGTAAATACTCCAACGTTCACCTTGCTGTGAAATCACGCTGTGACATATATTATCCCATAGAAATTCCTATCCACTACTTTCTCAAGTCAAAGGAAGTTACCAAATTAGATCTAATCAGGCTTCGAGAAAAAACGAGATATGAACTCAACGACCCTGGTTATGTATATTCATCAGTCACAATAAAAAAAGATGTTAACTTACCAACTTTCGGCAACTTAGATGAAAATTACAAGTATAAGAAAATAATTGATGAATTCGGAACTGAAAACGGAACTTATCCGGAAGAAGATACGCGTTTAACGTTAGGTAATCTCACTAAAGATTATATCAATCAACAACAAAATCGTCATGAAACTTGGTTAAGAGATCACAATTTCAACGAGGACTTTCAGAACTATATTAAAAACAAATACAACAAGAAAAAATTGTATGAGGAACAACGTATTCGTCGAATTGAACGTAAGAAACGCTACGAAGAATTCGTAAAAGCCGAAAAAGAAAAAGTGCGGCAAGAAGCTGCCATTCAGTTTGAGACCATGCGTTCAGCAAAAATACCTTTGAAAAAAATAGAAGAAACCGGTTTGATTTCAGTGACTAGTTCCGTCGATCGTAAAACTAGAAAAAAGGTTCATGAGGTTGTAATCAATGTTCCCACGATAACATTACCACCTATAGAGGAGGATTCAGAAGATTTATCAGCTCCGAGTGATTTAGAGGAGTTTGAAGCAACAATTTACCCATACATAAATGGTCAAGTCAATTTCATTG